CCATGTGAAGGCTGCCTGGGTGGAAAACAAACAAGAAATCCATACCCATCGTGTACAACTTTCAGAGCCAAGAAGAAATTAGAGCTGATTCACGAAGATTTGTGTGGCCCTGTGTCACCTCCTACACCAGCAGGAAACAAGTACTTCATGCTCCTGGTTGATGACTACAACAGGGTGATGTGGGTATACCTGCTAAGAACGAAGGATGAAGCTCTCTAGTCATTCAAAAAGTTTTAGAGCAAAAGTGGAAAACGAGACCGGAGAGAAGATTAAAGTCTTGCGATCAGATAGAGGAGGAGAATTCTTGTCCAACCAATTTACCAATTATTGCAGTGAAACAAGGATCGGTAGACAATACACCTCCCCATAATCCCCACAAAAAAACGGGGTGGTGGAGAGGCATAATCGCACGGTGGTTGAAATGGTAAGAAGTAATCTAATAACCATGAAGCTTCCACACACGCTATGGGGAGAGGCTGTGAGTCACGCCATTTACGTATTAAATAGAATAAGTACGAAGGCCTTGAATGATTCCACACCCTACGAGATGTGGACTGGTCGCAAACCTCATGTAGGCCACTTGAGGGTGTTCGTTTGCCTTGCACACGTAATGATTCCCAAGAATCAGTTGAAGAAATTGGATGAGAGAAGTAAGCGAGCAGTATATCAGCGGAATGAAAAGGGAACAAAGGCTTACATGCTTTTTGATACTGTCACTAGGACAATTCACGTTAGTAGAAACGTTGTGTTCCAAGAAGATAAGGCGTGGATGTGGGAGAAGGAATCGAGAGTCAATGGTACACCTGGATTAAGCTTCACCGTTGAAGGATTTGACTTCAACCGTGAGGGTATCGATGATCTTGAAGGCACCAGATCTATTCATGGGTCTACCCCATCTACACCCGATACTCACATATCCTCCGTCAATATGGACTGGACCAGAAGTGTATCCCAACCCAATACTGATTCGGACCCTCAAATAAGCCCACAAGGAAGTCAGTCAAACAACACGACTCCATTAAACCCTCCGATAACACCAAATTCGTCCAATTCACCCAGCATCGCCTCAAGTTCGACTGGTGGAGGTGCTCCCAAAAGGTTTCGTTTGCTCACGGACCTCTATGAAAATACCGAAGAAATCGAGCTGCCACCGGAGGAACTGATGTTAATGTGCAACGATGACTAACCTGGGAGCTACAGTGAAGTGATTCGAAAGAAAGAGTGGGTAGAAGCGATGAACACTGAGATAGCTTCAATTGAGAAGAATAAGACTTGGAGCTCAGTCGAACTCCTAGAAGGAAGGAAGCCAATCGGATTAAAATGGGTTTTTAAGGTGAAACGTGACCCAACAGGAAGGACTATGAAGCACAAAGCAAGAATCGTGGCAAAGGGCTACGTTCAAAAACAGGGCATCGATTATGAAGAAGTCTTTGCGCCAGTAGCGAGAATTGAAATAGTCCGGGTCATTTTATCACTTGTAGGCTCGAATGGTTGGCATGTACACCACCTAGACGTGAAATCTACGTTCTTCAACGGGCACCTAACTAAAGAAGTCTATGTCACACAACCTCAAGGATTCGAGAAGAAGGATGAATTTGGCAAAGTGTATAAACTCTACAAAGCCCTGTATGGCTTGAAACAAGCTCCCAGAGCTTGGCATTGGTGTTTAGACAAGTACTTAAAGAGTTTGGGTTTTAAAAGGTGTGGTCAAGAATATTTAGTGTACATAAGGTCAAAGAATGGGAATAAGTTAATCATTGGAGTATATGTAGATGATCTACTTGTGACAGGAAGCAACCCAGAAGATGTGAAGGACTTTAAAAAAGAAATGAAGATCAGGTTCGAGATGAGTGATCTCGGCCTGTTAACATATTATCTTGGAATTGAGCTGAATCAACAAGGTAATGGAATCACGCATAAGCAGGAAGCTTATGCCAAGAATATTTTGCTCAAAACCCGGATGTTAGACGGCAATCCCACCAAGAGCCCGATGGAACAAAAACTCTCTTTGACCAAAGATGGTGATGAAGAGCTGGTGAACCCAACAGAATACAGGAGCATTGTTGGCTGCCTAAGGTATCTTACTCACACTAGACCCGATATTACTTTTGCAGTTGGTGTTGTTAGTCGTTTTATGGAAAATCCCTATATAAAACATCTCCAAGCTGTAAAGGGAATCCTCAAATATGTGAAAGGGACCTTGAACTATGGTCTAGTCTATTCTAAAGGAGGTGAATAGGTCACTATCTCAGGCTTTACAGATAGTGACTTGGCCAAAGATATTAATGACAAGAGAAGTACATGGGGAATGACTTTTTATGTGAATGGAAACTTGGTCACATGGGCATCTCAAAAGCAAAGGGTCGTGGCTCTCTCATCTTGTGAGGCAGAATTCATTGCTGCCACCATGGCAACTTGTTAGGGCATATGGCTAAGGAGACTTCTCACAGAAATCACAGGACAAAAAGTACCACCTGTGACATTGTTTGTAGACAACCAATCAGCACTTGACCTGATGAAAAACCCTGTATTTCATGGTAGGAGCAAACATATTGACATTCGGTATCATTTTATCAGAGAGTGTGTTGAAGATGGAGAAATTATTATTACTCATGTGTGTCGGAAAAGCTAGAAAGCAGACATTCTCACAAAGTCCCTAGCAAGAGTGAAGCATGAAGAGATGAGGGACTTAATTGGAGTGAAGAAGGTTCAGAATTAAGGGGGAAAATGTTAAGAATAATTCTGAATTATTGTGTTATGCACGTTTTATTTGATGTTTGAATAAATCAAAGTTCCAGTGAGTGTGTTCCTGGTCTTTGTCAACTAGTCAAGTTAGTTCCTATTTTTCAGCTATGCTTTAGTATAAGTAGAGAGGCAAATGTATGTTGAATGTATTCCCATTTTTAATTATTTTGTTCAGTGAATAAAGTAGAATACTTTGCCTCATATTGTTCCCTGTGTTTTCACTTGTCTTTTCTGTGTATTCCTTCATTGTGCAGTTTTTTAAAGCTGTTTTTTCCAGATTTTCCCTTCCCTGCTCCTTATCAATTTTGTTCCCTGTGCAACTTCTCCTTTTGTTGTGTTACTTCCCATTTTGGTAATAAAAGACTTTATTACCCCTGCTATATACCAACACGCATCACTGACTTTGGGTGCTGCACTTCCGTCAATGTGATGCAGAACTTTGTATCTTTTTCATGAAGCTTGAATAACTTCACCCAAGAAGAATAGGTAACCTTGATGACATCAAGTATTTAGACCTTATGTTGGATATTGGTGATAGTGTACACCAGGTGAAGTGTTGGCTTTGTGCTACTTTCTGGGTGTTCTATGGTCGACATATCTGTTGTGACAGGGGATGCCGCCGGTAGTGATTTTTAGGGTTTTGAGCTTAGCTCTGATACCATAAAGGTTTATGATAATCACCTGCAGATCTCGTTCGTTGATACAAGTATATATACAAATACAAGAACCGAATCCTTATAATAAGGAAAGAATCAAATACAATAATCTAAATATATACACTATTTTTTATTGATTAATATAGTAATGATGGCTACATACCTTCCATGCAATGCGAAATACTATACATAAACTTGTGTGCATCTACCAAAATCGTATTTTTATGAATGACTTTAATATAAAGTACACTGAGGAATGACTAAAGACTTTAATGGTTACTCAAAATTACTATTGATGACTTATCACGAAGACCAAAAAAAACTATTGATGACATATGAGAAAGACTCAAAATTACTATTGATGACATTTAATGACTAACGCCTAAAGAGTTATACAATGTATTTACAAATGTTTCTTATTACCCAAAAGTAACTCTTTGTACATTACTCATAATGATTTTAATGATATTTCCAGGGTTCATATTTATTTGAGAATGTGCCAATTTTTTGAATTTTCAAGATGTTGAACCCTTGAACCCTTTATAGTTTGATTTCATTATTTTCCTTGCGGTGGGAGCCTAGTGGTTGAGGTACGTAATTCCAAACAGAAGGTCTACAGTTCAAACCATGACACATTTGAAATATTACTAGTGTTCCGTAATTGATTTCCCACATTGGCCTTGGGGCAGATTTACGTGGGCCGCTCAAATGGTGTTGTTTACCTTTTTTTTTCATGATGTTGAACTCCGGTGCTACTCACTAGGCTTCTCGAGCCTAACGTATGTATTTTGACAGATTGAAGACTATAGAGGAGGGTTGGATATTTAGAAGGCCACAATTGATGTAGTTCTTACTTGAGACTTATGTGATATTATCTTGAACACGCTCGTACTCTTAAACTTTTAGATTGTAAACCTTATTAAAAAAAACTAAGACTTTGGGACCATTTTACGAAAAGGATGATTTTAAGAATGTTAAATGATTTTAGACAGTTAAGCGTTATGAGTGGTGTATGCATGCTTGTGAGGTACGATGGGGTGAGATTTTATTTTTTAAATTTAGTTATAAAAGTATTAAAAAAATGTAAAAGAAAACAAAAAAAACAAATTAAAAGGGTATCAACAGATTCATTTGTAGTAATTTACTTTAATATGTACCAAGTAACTTTAGAGTTTAGACTGTATTCTCATATATAATCATAGGAGGCCACCACAACAACATTTTCAAAGAGGTGATAAAGTGGAAGGCAAGTGCAGTTGTGTTCTCTCTTGTGCAAATACTGGTTTTGAGGTTATGGATTCCTACTAACGAGTACTACTATTATATAAATTTATAGCTTATAAACATTCATTACCTAGACACCAGCCGAAGCAAAGGTGTTCAAACTTCAAATAATCAATACAAGAAAGCAATACAGAATTTGTTTCATAACAGATTCTAAGCAATAATAGATTCAGCTATGTTGCCTACCATAAATTTAACCGGTTTACATAGTCTTATTGCGCACCACCACATAAAAGTCAACACATAATATTATAAATAGATACAAAACCAAATTCACATTTATTGCATACATCACTCTTTCTAAATAATCAGGTCCTACTTACGGAAGATGATACAAGCCTTCTTTACTGAATTATAAAGAAAGTAATAGCATGTATACATACATTCTTCAACAGAGTCTAGCCACCTTCTGCGCCAGTAAGGATTGACGTACAAAAGGGCAACAAATCCCAATAAAAACACAACCAATGTTGAAATAGAACTTCCATAGAAACACACGATATCAATTTCATACCATTTCTCAGTGCCTTGTTCTTCGAGAGATGGATGTGTTGTTACATGTGGTTCAGTGGCACATTTCTTCTCCAGTGGTGGTCCACAAAGAAGCGGATTGCCTTGGTAGCACGCCTCTGTAAAGGTACCAAACTGCTGTTTCATGTCTGGGAGTCTACCCGACAGATTGTTGTGAGAAACATTAAAAACTCCTAGAAAAGTCAGCTCAATCAGTTCTGATGGAACTTTGCCAGTCAAACCATTTGAAGAAAGGTCTAAGCTCTCCAGTTTAGCAAGATCTGAGAAGTTCACTGGAATGGGTCCAGTCAGCTGATTGTGAGACAGGTTCAAAGCAAGAATCTGGGTCAAAAACCCCAGTTCTTCAGGGATTTTACCTGTCAGTTTGTTGCACGATAAATCCAATCCTGCCATGTAATCAAGAATATTGCCTTTGTAGGGACGAGACATGCTTTTTGTTGTAAACTGAACTTCGTCTCGTGTTTCAATCACTTCGGGATAGAAGTTGGTAGAAAGCCCCCTCTGAGGATCACTTCCATCCACGTAAGTGAAATCCGTGAAAGACTGACTCATCATTCTTTCAATGAAAGCAAGGTAACGTGGGCCTGTAATATTTTGAAGGCAGCTAGGTATTGAACCAGAAAGAGAGTTACTGGATAAATCTATCAAACTCACATTACTTAATTGGCATAATTGCTTCGGAATAGAACCGCTAAAGTTGTTATTTCTCAAAACAAGAATTCTTAAATCGGATAGTTCGCCAAGAAATTCGGGAATCCCGCCCGACAACTTGTTGTTGCCTATGTCCAAAATCAAAACCTTAGTCAAATTACCAAAGGAAAGAGGAACTGATCCAGTAAATCTGTTGGAACCCAAATAAAGATGCTCCATATTTTGCAAATTTAAGCAGGATGGGATGGGCCCGGAGAAAGAATTCTGTGAGATATCCAGAAACGAGAATGGAGCTGTTCCACAAGGAAACCGACCTTTCAAACTATTATTTCTCACCACAAGTTCAGACAGGTATTTCATATTGCTTAACCAGCTAGGAATGACACCTGTAAATAAGTTATTGCTAATATCAAGAGCTCTCAAACCTTCAAGATTTTCCTCCCAGTTCTTAATTCCGATTTTCCCTGTGAAACGGTTGCCATCTAAGTAAACCCATTGGTGGTTACCCCAGCTTAGGTTTCCTGAGAGTACCTCCCCATGCAAGTTGTTCCTTGATAGTTTCAATATATCCAGGTAAGAGAGGTTTGTAAACAATTCCTTTGGTACTTCTCCTGATAACTCATTATCGGATAAATCTAGTACTTGTAATCTGCTCAAATCACCATATGACGGAGGAATAGCACCACTTAATGAGTTTCTGGACAAATTCAAACGATTTATGTTTGGAAAGAACTTTGGGATATTGTTTAGAATAGTACCTTTCATGTGATTTCCAGACAAATCCAACCACTTCATATTAGCATTCCTATACAGTGGAAAACTGTCAAAGGAGTTGTTCCTTAGATTAAGAACTTGCAAATTCGTATTGTTTTCAATCAACCAATTTGGAAACTGCCCTTCCAAGGAGTTGTGGGACATGTCTAATTCTAGTAACTTGTGTTGGTGAAGTAGAAACCCCGGAACAAGATGTCCTTTATGAAAATTCATATTGCAATTAGATAGAGCAAGAACTTTCAACTGAAACTTTGGAATCCAATCTATAGCCTCTTCTGTTTCCACCTCAAACCTGTCATTGTCGCTTCTAAATCGAACTACCTCAAGCTTTGTAAGATTGCAGAAATAGCTGAATGAGAATGAACCTTCAAATATGTTATGACTAAAATCAATGTACTCGAGAGATGTGAGATTAGCAATGAGTGAGGGCATAAGTATCCCTGAGAATTGGTTTGAAGAAATATCCAACAACTTAAGAGATGTTAGACTGTCAAAACACAGAGGCAGACTTCCATGGAGCATGTTGTTACTAAGATCCAACTCCTGGAGATTCTTTGACTCACAGAATCCTGCCAAAAAAAAAAAAAAAAAGTTGTTCGCTCATTTAGGCATCTGAAAGAGTAACTATCGGGGAAAGGCCAATTTAACCATACCGTAACAGCATTTCATTTATGCATTTGTCCTAAAAAATCCTAGACTTCTAATCGTGCATGCTTTAGATAACTTACCATCATCAGATAATGAGCCATTAAGACTATTTTCAGCGAATGAGAGAACTCTTAGGGAAGATAATCCCTGTATTGTTGATGGGATGCTCCCAACAAAACTGTTTTCACTCAAATCCAAGATCTCAAGATGACGGAAAGATGCAAAAGCTAGATGAAAACAAGAGAAGAGAAGGTTACTAATTAATAAAAACCCTGAAAAAGGATTTGATATAAGTGATGATTATTGATGAATGAAGCTGGTTAAGCTGTGGGGAAAAACCGCTACCTTCCATTGGAAGTGTTCCACTGAAACCATTACGTCTCAAGAGGAGGACTTCCAAATCACGCAAATCATTAAACTCTGAATTACATAGAAGGACGTGTTAAACAATTAGCAAGAAAGAGAAATTAATAAATAATAATGAAGATGAAATATAGTATTTTAGTTTTTTAACGATGACTCCTTTTGAGGTAAACATGCCTTGGACAGGAAAGGAAGTTCCCAGTGAAGTTGAATAGGATAGATCAAGAATCTTGAGGGATGGGAGGGCAGTTAAGCATGATATGATGCTCTTGTTGAAACTGTTACCAGAAAGATTTATACTCTCCAGCCTTTTCATTCTTGATAAGCTCTTACAGTCTGCAAAAGGGAAGGCAATTCTTAAAGAAACCATCCATGGTCTTATCAAGCATGTAACTATAAATCTTCATTTACCTTGGATATTGGGTGTGCCAAGGTACCAGGTATTACTTAAATCCAACTTCTTTAAGTTAATCAGATGAGCTAATTCTGTCATATGAAAGAAAAACATATATCACACATCATGCTTGCTATTTTCATATGTACATTTTGAAGCTAGTTTGGTGCATTATATGTTCGCTGGTATTTTTACATGATTGTAACTAGGTACCCTTATTTAACGTGCAATACCAGTTCACCACAATAGGCATTATATTTTGATAAATGTTTTTCAAGGGATGCTTATATAAGTAATTAAAAGATTATAGGTGTTTCGGTTGCGTTAATCTAATTAACAATTAGATATATGTTCACAAACACTGTATAGATATGCGTTCTCATGTATCACCGTAAATTGGAAACAATGGAAAAGCTCTTTCTGGAGAACATATATGAAGTATAAAAATACATCCACTTTTACTTCTGTTATGCATTAGTCAAAAGAATTAAGACTCCATTACATTTTTCTTTTGTCCAATAAAAGAAACAGGCCATATTTCAAATTTCAAAACCTGGAAGAGTCATTCTGTTAGGGTCGACTTGTAATGTCGCAAAAGGTAAATTTGTGTATGAATCCAATGTGATTATATATTAGCATGATGGGTTTAAGATGACAAATTGATTACCTTGAATCTCAAAGGTAATATTAAAGTAACAAAAGCTTAGAGACAACACCTCCAAGTTCTCTAAAGCTGCAAATTTTGCAATTCATGTAAAAAAGGTGTAATTAGTACCTTTAAAATATGCATTTCTGCATGATAAAAAAAGGGAATGAAAGAAAAGACAAGAACATGCCACTGATAGGGTAGTTTCCATTCAAGCCTGTGTGGCTTAGATCCAAGATTTTGAGTGAAGTGAGTGTACTCAATGATGGAAGAATGTCGTTATCAATATCATAATTCAAACTGAGGTCTAGTATCTCCAACTTTTTCAAACTCGACAACCTTTCAAGTCCTGCAAAAGAAAAAAAAAAAGTTTTTTATCAAAGGCATCCTAGTCTTTTGATATTTTAGGGACTACTTTCCGGGCACAGATAGTAGTTATATACAGATAAGATTCGGCATGAATTGCAGCTTCTGAAGTAAAGACTTGTGTTTGGTCTATTTTTACTTAGAGCAACCGTAATTTTATTAAAATAGCTAAAGGCCAGAAAAAGAGGGAAGAAAATTACATCCCATATATTAATTGGATGTTGAGTCTATGAATTTGAAAAAAAGATGATGTTGGAACCGGATGAAAAAAAATAACTAAAGCAATTAATCACATTGTACTATACCTGTCTTCATAATCTCTAATTTATCAAGAAAATCATATGATAGATTGAGACTTGTCAACTCTCTAAAATGAAGAAACAAGGAAACATTCAATGGCCACAACTGGATCCCAAGCTCCATGTTTTCATCTACCATTCCTCTCAAATTGTACAAAGAAAGCTCTATGACATGCCCGGTGGTTGTGTTGCAGTTGACCCTCTCCCAATCACAACAATCGCTGCCACCATCCCCAGGGGTACTACTGCCATAATCAACCCAAGTAGGGAGAAAATCGTCAATTTCAGAATCATATGACTTCATATGGGAGGCCTTAATTTCGAGTAGCGCCTTTCTCTCCTCTACTATACAATCTCCTTGTGTTTGCCCGACCATTAGAATATTTATCATCATCAACATCAAGGACCGATATACCCATGATTTACTCTGACTCACAACCCAACACTCCATTTTAGTAGCTAATGATGACTTTATAGAGACACAAACTTCCGGTTTAGTTTGGTTTGGTTTTATTTGCTTGGTATATGAACAGATATGTAATGAGGCATGGAAAACAATTTATATTTGATAAAGTGAATATGTTTGAATATTAATTGCATAATTCTCCGCCATTCATCAAGTCAATGGTCGATCTCCACACATAACTCTATTCCATCTATTCCATTGTCAACCATTCCTTCAACTTGTCCCTTTTGGAGTATCAAGTATGATACAGTTACACTCCCCAAAACTTATGATTCACACATTTGTTGACTTTTCAACGAACTTACAAGTCTCCATTCACATAGCATATTTTTCAATTACTTATATAAACAAAAATATTTATTAGCTAAACATTAATATTATCACAATCATTTCTTTTACATAATTTTCATTCAATATTTCTAAAGTATATAAATAATCCTAAGAAGAATTTGACAAAGAGAATGACTAGTGTAATTAATAGATATTTTTATTTAAGCATTGAATTCATGTACTCCCTTCTGCATTTCAAGCTTATATTGTTACTCAAAAAGACCACTTAAAACTTGAGCTCTTACACAGGTACCCAACAATATTTATAAGCTAATGGCTGGTTAATAGGTAAGCTGATTTACACCATGAATCTCATAGGTAATAATTTTTGAAGAACAAACAAAAGCATAAAGGGTCCGATATTAAGAGAGTTTTGTATCAATCGACACATTTATAATAATTTACTTCGATATATTAGAAGTTATATTAGAAGGCCACAGCATCCTATTTATGAATAAAAAACGGAAGTACTGATTATCATTCATTTAGAACTATATTATATTTTGATTCTCAAGTTTAACATATTTTTTCAGTTTTGGTCCAAAAAAGTTGTCTTACAAATTTAGTCCTTAATTTGACGTTTTTATAACGATTTTGGCCATCATCTCATATATACCTTTATCTACTCTTTTTATGATATTTTACTATTATGTAAATTATTGTATACCATATTATATTAAGTTGGCCCCACCTCCCCCATTCATATCCCCTCATTTTCTAAAGCAGATTCCTGAACCCTGATGTAAAAAGTTATGTGGATCTTTACAGATGACGCACAAACACATATATGCCCACACATAAAAAGAAAATAAAATCCACCTACCATACCTTTGTAGACTCGCACAGCTCCTTGCGGTTCTCATGGATCGATCATATCAATTCCTGGTAAACAGCGAATTGAGAGCCATTGCTAGAGAGCACGATAACCCGACAATGAAACCGGCGTCAGCGAATTTGAAATTGCAACAACCCTAACCCGATGAGTATGCTTAACCTTTCACCTCCTTTCCTTTCCTCCTCGTCTTCCCTAACCACATAACCATTTTCACCACAATTCACCGACGACGGCGAGGGTACAGAGTCTCGGACCTCGATTTAGAGGGGTGGTAGAGGGTGAAGGCAGCGGCGAGATGGTGTGTGTGTGTGGGTGGGTGGGGGGGTGTTCATAGTGGATTCTATAAGCGTGACACCGTCGAGTCGACGGAAGAGGAAGCGGAGAACAAACGGAGGGGTGGGAAGGGTTTTAACTGGAAAGGGAAATCGAGGAGTGCGGTAAAAAACAAAGGGAAATGCATTTTCTAGGGTTTACCCGAGTCCCTTAACTAGATGATTCTTTTAGTTCATATCAACCCATACTATAATAGTCGGTTAGTGACATTTTAGATTAAAAAAACTCATAGAGTATCCTTATAAAGCCAAAAAGAAATAAGTTTGGGGATCAATTCATACAAAAAAAAAATCTGGTTTTCTTCTAAAATCAATTCACACTTAATTCGTATTGATCCCCGAACTTTTTTTTTTTTTTTTAATTTATAGGGTATACTGTGAGTTTTTTTTTTTTTTTATCTAAAAGGTCACTGAACGGGCTATTACAAGTTGACAAGGACTAAAAGACCAGGTCATATCCTAGTTTAGGGATCTATAAAGCCCGACAAAAGCTTTAGAGACTGAACGGGTAAACCTTATAAACTTCGTAGGGCATTTGTGTTATTTTCCCAAAACAAAATAGAATAAAGACTAAACTACAAAAATGATCCCTGTATTAGTACGACTTTACAAATTTAGTCCTATTTTTCAAATTTGTCAAAATTGGTCCTTATTTTAGGTTTCGATTACACATTTCGTCCATATCTTTGTTACTTTTTTATTGAATCCGCTAACCACCCTCTTTTGTGCCCCTCATATGAGGGGTATTTGAGTCATTTTACTACTTTCCAAACCAATGATCATCTTCTTTTATCACCGCCATCCTTCACCCATCTTGAGTAATTTCTGGCAATCTTCTTCTCCCACAACCTTCATAATCCTTCACTTTTTCCAACAACCACCCTATCATTAAATTTTGGCAACCCTCTCCCACTTCTAGTTTTTTTCCTTGAACAAACCCAATTTAAAGCTAATATAACGAAAGGAAACATCATCCTAAATGTTCATTTCCTTCCTTTTGTATGTTAATTGTGAAGATCATTCTTCCATTGATTTTTAAGGTAACAAGTTACACATTTTAAGGAAGTTTCTCAATGTAACAAGTTACTAGGTTATATGCTCAAAATTGTTGTTATAACAAGTTATTCGACCTAAACCATGCAAGTGAGTGACTCTTGGGGCCATTAATCCAAGCATATGTAAACTATATTGCACGTTGTAAATTTATGAAACACAATTGCATGCCATCTTTCTTTATGACGAGGGTTAAAGACATGTATTTGCATGTCATTTGTCCCCTTTTATGACACGTAATGTGTGTCATTAAAGACATATTTTATAGTAGTGTATAACAAACTAAATGTGAATAAATTCAAAGTTGAAGGAGTTATTTGTAAAAGAAATATTCAAAAAATATATTTGGTGTTAATGAATATTTTAACAACATATTTGGTTTATGAGAAATTAAATATCCTCCTACATTTTATTCCTACTTATCTTCTTATCCTATAAAATGTTGACATGTGGCATATTTAATGACATATATAATGAAATTGATAATATTTTAATCCACTTATCACCATTTAATATAGGTAGAAGAATATTAGGAATAAAATGTAGGAGGATATTTAATTTCTCTTGGTTTATACCATTTATCAATATCATATTTGATGTAAAAAATTATGTTGCATTGATGCAAATTTACACCAAGAAAAAGTGCAAATATAGGATTTACAATTCAATTGAAAATTCCTCAAATCAAGTTATTTTTTTACACTTTTTCAAAATAAAATAAAAATAAATGTAATTGATAAATGCTCCAGAAAGAAATTTAAAATATCTAAACATATAAACCTCTAATTTAATAAAGACAAAATTATGTGATGTAGTCTTGTGGTTTGTAACGTCATGATTTTCACAACTAAAATTTTCATTTTTAAATTAAGTAAAATCATTGTTTCTAAGAAAAACCAAGTCATGAAACCATAAGTATTAAAATACAATCATCCCAAAAATCAAAGTATCATAACAATACGAAATCATGAAAGATGTCGATGAGAGTGTACAATCTAGCATTCGTCTTCTCACAATCATATTAAGTACCTAAAACACATTTAAATCCACAAACAACAAGTATGAAGCTTAGTAAGTTACCCTAAATATCACATACAACACAACATAATAAACAACTATGAGCTATCAGCAACCCGATGACTATCAGCAGTCCTATGGGCTCTCAGCAGCCATATGGGTTATCAACAACGACTATCAGTAGTCCTGGAGTTATTAACAACTCAAATAACACACATAACAAAAATCAACAAATAAGACTTAGTTAGTCTAGCATGCACCCCATTATGACATAGGTAATATGGTGAGAATACTCACCTTGTATATAGCAGCTCGACACAACACAACATTACTCAAATGGTGAAGACCGACCCTAAGAATCACCTAACTAACAATATAAAATTTCACTCTTAGTCTACACTCTATAACCCCCAGGTTGACCAAAAGTTAACATGGTCAAGAAGTCAATGGTCAAAGTTAGCGGTTAAAGCTAGCCCCGGCCAACCCCTATATCGTAGATACCATTTGGCCACACTATGGCAGCATTAGGATAAAAACAGTCACAGGAGTGTCCATCACCACATCATGGTGGTCAATCCGCCACGTCATAGGAACATCTCTAGACAGCTTAATGCATTAAGCTCTTAATCTTTCAAGCTATACACTCAAACTTTCTAAAAGGCTTTATTCACCCCAAAGCATCATAAAAATCGCTTTATAGACATGCATGTCTTGATCTCAAGTTATATCAATATGGATAAAAAAGAGATCGAGATCTCATGTATGAACCCAAAATTCAACAACTCTCCAGATATGGGAAACTAGACCACGAAGGAACTTTAAGAACCCATAAAACTGCCAACTTTATGGAGTATATACGAGTAACCCACCCCAAACATGGAAGAAATTGGATAAAAACCTAGATCTAGCATTCTTGACACATAAAGGTAGGAGCTTGAGGACTTACAAGAGTCTTAAAACAACACGGGATGTAAAAAAAATATTATATAACATTATAAGTAACAAATATTATATATAGAAATTTATTATACAAATAATAACCTACATGCGATCCATTTGTAAAAAAAAAAAATTGGAGCAGATTTACCCAGCAAAATAATGCAAAAAAGAATAATTTAGATTTCGGGTTTGTGACGCCCTTAACAAGTTTTTTTTTTTTTTTTATTATTATTATTATTTTTTTTACATATTTTTAATAATAAAATAAAGACAAAAATTAAATGATAGAACTATATATCTAAAGAGAATAAACCTTAAATTTAGTTAATATAATAAACATATTTTTAATGTAATAAAAGGTTGTTGGTTTATTGATGGGCCTGAGCCAAATTCTTTTAAGTTTTTTTTTCCCTTTTGCTTGGCTCTTGGGTTCTTCACACAAAGAAATCGATTTTGGTTTTGTAAAAGGACGATTAGGCAGAAGAAAATCACGAATGAACGATAAAATAAAAAATTACAAAGAGGTCGATTCAGTGCAAAACCTTTTACAAATGTGGTTAGGTTCTTATACTTCTGATTCACTCACAGGGTAGTTTGTAAATTGGATTTGTGAACTTCGTTTATTGGTAAATTTTGAGCAATTTTGTATAGAAGCGTTGCCGAACTGCTAGGGTTGACACCAAATCTAGGGATTTTTCCAAAATCGTTCTAATATTTTGCATATCTTTTCTTAATCATTTAATTGGATACATAAATATTAGTATGTATTTGGAGCAGATGATGTTAAATATTAATAATTTTTTCAATGTTTAGATGTTTTTCCTGTGATTAGCTAGTTTGTTTCATTATTAACATCGATTTAGATCTTTATATGTTTATGTGTAATCTACTGCTGATAATGAGATTGATAATTACCACTCTGTTTTATGTTCTCACAAAATTGAAGTATATGGCTGGAGAACTTAACAACCACTCCAAGTTATTGAATATTCTTTACAGATTTAAGCATTAGGTTCTGGTAGGACTAATTAAGACAAACTGTAAACCATCAGCATTACATCGACGGTCATTAAATCAGGATTTCTGCTCATTGGTAACATGGAATAATAGTGGTTTGTTTATTTAGAATCGTTGATATTTGTATTAAACAACCATCAAAATATTACATCAACACCAACACCCAATACTGCTTTGTCTTTTATTGGATTTCACAAGTAGTTAATGCATTACATGTGATTACGAAGTTATATCATTAAAATTGTAACGTAACATTTTGAATAAGCAACTTAGTACATTTGGGTTACCTTTTACCTATTTAACTTAATTCCTGTTTTTTCTAAGTTTCAAAATTTGACTCATTTGGGTCGTAGATGTAAAATATACTAAATTGATTAGTTTCTAAGTAAATGAGTTGAACTCAGAATTTGCTTTACGAAAATGTCGCAGTTTATTTGATAAAAAAAAAAAATAATAAGTAATCTCTACTCCATTCATCACATTTATAGTGTTAGTCGATCTTTAAATTCTTTATTTTATCAGGGGATAAACCCATCTTGTAAAATCATGTGGTTTGCCTACAGACATATTTTAGTTAATTCGGATTTTTACTCATATCTTTAATGCATCAAGAACCATGCTTCTGAGTTTTAAAACACCTGATTGGGAGGAATCAACATTGCAAACATCAAAGATCCCTAAAGCTATTTGAAAGCAAGGCCCAGGTTATTGATCTGGAATCCTGATTTCCGGATGTTTAGGAGATCAACATGTAGTGTTGGGTAGTGATCAGGAGGCGATTCATTTGAAAAAAAAATTAGTAGAATCTTTTTTTATACATCATCATACATATGAATACACATACAAACAAGTTTGCATTTATTTTATCACGCATTCTAATGGAGGTCCTGCTTATGAATGGTCAGGGAAGGCTTCCTTGCCAGATCAGAAAGGGAGTAATAAAATGTAAAGATACAATCTTCAACCCAGTCGAGCCACCTTCTACGCCACCAAGGATTGGTGTAAAGAATTGCAACAAATCCAGATAAGAAGACAACACATGTGGAACTAAAACTTCCGTAGAAGCATGCCATATCGATATCATACCATTTGTCATTGTCTTCTTCTTCATCTGATGGACTGGTCAGCTGTGAATTAGTAGTTGTGCATTTCTTCACGAGTGGTAGTCCACAAAGAAGTGGATTCCCTTCATAGCTTGCCTCCGAGAAGGTACCAAACTGTGCAGTAAATTCTGGGAGTCTGCCTGATAGATTGTTGTGAGAAACATTAAATACTTGTAGAAAAGTCAGTTTAATGAGTTGTGATGGAACTGTGTCGGTCAAACCATTTGAAGAAAGGTCCAAGCTCTCTATTTTTGCAAGATTTGAGAAGCTCACAGGAATGGGTCCAGTCAGCTGATTGTGAGACAGGTTTAAAGCACGAAGTTGGGTTAAGAATCCAAGTTGTTGTGGGATTTCACCTGTTAGCTTGTTACAGGAAAAATCCAATCCCGCCATGTAATCAAGTATGTCTCCCTTGTAGCTGAGAAAAAGCCTTTTTGTTGTAAACTCAACTTCATCATCTGTTTCGAATGCATAGAACTCGGAGTTGCTAGAAAACGACCACCGTAGAATCCTCCCGTAATTGAAATAGGGACCAAAGGAAAACCCCATCATGATAGTTTTTAGGAAAGCAAGGTCGGTTGGGCCGGTAATATTTTGAAGGCAGCTAGGTACCGAACCAGAAAGTGAGTTACCAGATAAGTCTAACAAACTCACTTTACTTAATTGACACAACTGCTTCGGGATGGAATCGCTCAAGTTGTTTTTTCTTAAAAGAAGAATCCTTAAAGTGGATAGTTCACCAAGAAATGTAGGAATCCTGCCTGACAAGGAGTTGTCGCCAATGTCCAAAGTCAAAACCCGAGTCAAATTACGAAAGGATTTGGGTATTGATCCAATGAATTTGTTGGAACCCAAAAGAAGATGCTCCATGTCTTGCAAATTCAAACAGGACGGGATGGGTCCGGAGAAAGAATTATGGGAGATATCAAGAAATGAAAATGGAGCTGCTCCACAAGGAAACCTGCCTTCAAAACTATTATTTCTCACCACCAATTCAGACAAGCTACTCATGTTGCCTATCCAATCAGGGATGATGCCTGTAAACAAGTTATTGCTAATATCCAAAAGCTTCAGAGATTCATGAGTTTCCTTGCTGCTATTAATTCCAATCTTCCCTGTGAAATGATTGCTGTCTAAGTAAACAAATTGGAGTCCACCCCAGCTTAAGCTTCCTGAGAGTACCTCGCCATGCAATTTGTTGTTTGATAGTTTTAAGAAACCCCACCAAGAGACATTTGTAAACAACCCCTTTGGTACTTCTCCAGATAACTCATTATCAGATAGACCCAATATCCATAATTCACTCAATTCACCGACTGAGGATGGGATAACACCACTTAAACTATTCATGGACATATTCAAATACTCTATGTTGGGAAAGAACTTTGGTATATCGTCGGGAATAGTACCTATCATTCCATTTCCAGACATATCCAACAACTTCATATTAGCATTCCTATACAAAGGCATATCGACAAACAAGTTGTTCCTTAGAACAAGACGTTCCAGATACGTGTTGTTTTTAACCAACCAATTTGGGAAGTGTCCCTCCAAGGAGTTCTGTGACATGTCCAGTTGCCGTAACTTGTGCTGGTGAAGTAGAAACCCAGGAGGCATTTTCATATTACAATTAGATAGCTCAAGAATTTCCAACTGAAACATTGGAATCCAACCTATAGGCTCTTCTGTTTCCACCTCAAACTTGTCATTGTCGCTTCTGAATCGAACGAATTGAAGCTTTATATGATTGGAGAAGGAGCTGAAGGAGAATGAACCTTCAAATACGTTATGACTAAAATCAATGTACTCTAGAGATGTAAGATTAGCAATGAGTGATGACGCAAGTATTCCCGTGAATTGATTTGAAGAAATATCCAAAAACTTAAGAGATGACAGATTTTTCAAACAATCAGGCAGAGTTCCATGGAGCATGTTGTTGCTAAGATCCAACTCATGGAGGTTCTTCAACTCACACAACCCTGTCAAACGACAAAAAAAAAAAAGGTTCTGCGTAAGCCATGAAAACTAAATTTACAAAAGATTAACCGTCAAGAAATATATAATATGGCTTGCATTTGCATGTTCATACGGCTTCAAAAAGATTAACCATCGAGGAAAGGTAAGTTTACAAAATAATCACAACAATGCAACGCACATCATGCTTTAGATAACTTACCATGATCTGATAATGAGCCATCAAGATTATTTTCAGAAAATGAGAGAGCTCTTAGGGATGATAATGTCTGTATTGCTGATGGGATGCTGCCAACAAAACTGTTTCGACTCAAATCTAAGACCTCCAAACGGTGGAAAGATGCAAAAGCTGGATGACAACAGAGAGTTACATATGTATTACAAGTCATGTATGACGATTGCAATAATAATTATGTTAATTGAGTAACGACAAAAGAACATTACCTTCCATTGGTATGGTTCCATTGAAATAATTACCTCTCAAGAGGAGGACTTCCAAATCAGACAAATTAAGGAATTCTGAATTAGACAGAGAGAGAGAGACATGTCAATCAGTTTGATAAAACAATTAGGAAAAACTGAATGAATATATATATATATATATATATATATATATATATATATATATATATATATATATATATATATATATATATACATCGTTTTAAAAATCGTCAGAAGCGTACGCCTTGAGGCGTGCCTTAAGGCGAAGCGGACCATGGCCGAACTAGAGGCGCCGCCTCTGTGGTTGGATTTGAGACATACGCTTCGTCCAGGTGAAACGTAGATGAATCGGTAGAGGCGGTGCGTTCTTCAGAAACGTACGCCTTGAATTTTTAGTCTAATTTTGACTATTTTCTTTTCCAATCCCACCTGGTCTGCATCGCATCTTGCAATTCTTCATCAATTAATGAAATTGATGTTCCATACATTCAATTGAGTCTACCAGATGTTGTTTGGATATCCAATTTCAGAAACATACGCCTTGATTTTTAGTCTAATTTTGACTTATTTTGACTTTTTTCTTTTCCAATCGCACTGTTCTGCATCGCATCTTGTAATTCTTCCTCAATTGATGAAATTGATGTTCCATACATTCAATTGAGTCTACCAAATGTTGTTTAGATATCCAATTTCTTGATCCCCACAAACATTCTGGCATAAATTGGATGCATATGACCAAAATTTATAAAAATATATGTTCTGACCCTGGAGATTCAATTTTATATTACTGTAGTTTCAATTATATGTTTAGTATTTTATTTTTTATAAGATATATATATATATATATATATATATATATATATATATATATATATATATTTTAATTACGCCTCGGGCATAAGCCCCGAGGTGGGATTACGTTCTTTTAAACCTTATATATATATATATATATATATATATATATATATATATATATATATATATATGTGTGTGTGTGTGTGTTTATATTTTTCACTTAGATGCGGTTAGAAATAACTATTATATATATATGAATCTGAATACATTTTCTGTCGTTAAGTTTAAAATGTGACTGAATTTCTAGAACTATGCATTTTCAAGACGTGCCTTCCTTTTGTGATGTCAATTTTGTAATGAATGTGATTTCCACAAACCAAATCTTTTTCATGCAACTATTTTTGTGATGCCAAGTTGGCAAGTTATAAAAAGAAACTGCTTATTTGACATCATAAAGATAAAACATTATATTTTATTTTACAAATTCCATAAAGCATATACAACTGAAAAGCTATAAGGATACATATATGTAATTATTAAAAAAAAAAAAGTATAAGTATAAGATGCAGGAATGATTATACTATCAAGTTGCACATTCAATATGTTTAGTCAACATTCACTTTAGTGTTTTAAATGTAAATTTAATGCATAAAAGAACTAATGAAATCAATATACTATAAATATCTACCCATGACCATGAAAAATTATTTTATATGTATCAATTATTTAAAGATAATATTTCTGTCTTCTGTAGATAATAAATGATAATTACAATTACATAGAAATTCAGACATGTATACTAAGTTTCTTGGACTTTGTGTCCCTCATTCTGCAGGAAATTTCATATCGGCACCACTAGTTTGAAACATAAACAAAAGCCCCCCTCAATGTCACCTATTGCGTCTCTTTATTAACCAAGTCAATGCAACCGAAACACTTATACATCTCTATGTGTGAAGATCACACATAGACCATAGACATGACACAACATCCCACAAACACTCTATAAATATAGGTTCTCATGCATCATACCAAATTGAAAACAAGATAAAATCAATCAAGTTCATATGGTCTAAAAATGATACTCAAACAACTTTGGAAAGAAGTATATACAGTCATAGGAGGTACCTTGAGCTGGAAATGATCCCGACATTTGATTGTAGCTAAGATCCAAGTTTGTAAGCGATGAAAGGGCTTTTAGAGATGTTATGACGCTTTCATTAAACCAGTTGCCCGCAAGATTTAAACTTTTCAATTTCCTCAATATGGAAACCCTCTCAGAACCTACATTTAGGAATCCAATCGAATTTATAAGCTCTAGCCAGTTTCATACAGCCACAGAGCTCTGATAAGCCCCAACTTAGCATGGATTGCTTTTAGTTGAATTGCTTTATTATAGTTATTTTATTGTCTGTTTTGGGTCCAGGGGTAGTTTGGTCTTTTTTAGTATTATGTCTGTTATTGGTTGTTTGTTATGTTGGGAGCACTAACTTTGTCCCAGGTCTGTTTTAGGGGACCACTCCCCTGAGTCATGTCTAGTTTAAACTTTAAATATATACCCCTGCAGGTTTTTGTTTAGGTAGCTAAGAATTAATTTGTAAAATGAACTTTGTTCTTCTTCGAGAGTCCATTCCTCTCAAATGAATGGGAAAACCCTAATCTATCTTATCAATTCATAGTTTCATTATCAGATTGTATGCAAGAATGAATAAGGGTCTATCAATCTCTTTTGGAGAACGTATACAAGTACATATCTATATCCGTTTTAAGCATTGTAAGGCTTCCATTAAAAGAATTGTTTATTATATCAGACCAAGTGACTTGATTGTAGTGTATTGCAGTAGTAATATCTCTACCACAGATAATCAAGTCCTTATTGCGATTTTTCTGTCCCAAGTAAAGAAAGGTCATATTTTAAATTTCACACATGGATGAGTCATTCTGTTATGGTCTTGTAATGTTGCAAAAGAGGGATTTGTGTACAAGTCCAAGGTGACTTTATTGGCATGATGTTTTTATGATGATATTGCTTACCTTGAACCTCAAAGGTACCATTGAAGCGACAATAGCTTAGATCCAACACCTCCAAGTTCTCTAAAGCACCAAATTCTGCAATTCATGTGAGAAGGATGTAAGTATCTTTAAAACAGGCATTTATGCATGTTAACCATAAAAAAGAAGAAACGAAAAAGACACAAACCTACCATTGGTAGGGAAGTTTCCATTCAAGCTAGTGTCGCTAAGATCCAAGACTTTGAGTGAAGTGAGTGTCTTTAATGATGGAAGGATGTCGTTATCGATATCACGATTCCCACTAAGGTCTAGTACCTCCAACTTCTTCAAACTCGACAGCCTTTCAAGCCCTGCAAAAGAAAGAGAATTTTTTAACACAGGCATCCTAGCCTTTTGATATTGAAAGGGCAACTTTCTAAGCACAATTGGTAAATACTAAAAAGCTGTAGCATGATTTGCAGGATCTGAAGTACACATAAAGTCTTGTGTTTGGTCTTTTATATATAGAAAAACATTATCCAACCATTAGGGTTCCTAAGAAGCGTCTTTGAGTGCATAAATTAGTTGGATGTTATGTTCACGAATTTGAATAGAGTCGACTTACTGGAATGTTTTGCTCAAAAAAATATGATGTTGGAACAAGGTGAAAGAAATACTAATTAAAGCAATTAATCATGTTGTACCTGACTTCATGAACTCTTTATCAAGAGAATTCTGTGACAAATTGAGACTTGTCAACTCTTTAAAATGAAGAAACAAGGAAACATTCAATGGCCACAGCTTGCTTTCATCCTTATACCAGTAAGCATCGAACCCTATCACCCCTCTTAAATTGTACAAAGAGAGGTCTGTCACATGCACTGTTGTTGTGCTGCAGTTGATCCTCTCCCAATCACAGCAGTTGCTGCCACCATCCCCAGGGGTACCACCACCATAATCAACCCAGGTAGGGAGAAAATTATCAATTTCAGAACCATATGACTTCATATAGGAGGTTTTGATTTCCAGTAGTGCCTTTCTCTCCTCTTCTACACAATCCCCTTGTGTATGCCCAGCCATTATTAGAATATGTATCATCATTAACATCAACAGCCAACATAGCAATGATTTATGCTTACTACAAGCCCAACACTCCATTTTAGCAGCTAATGGTGGCTTTGTAGAGACACTCACAACATTAAACTTCCTGTTAGGTTTGGTTTGCTTAGCTTTGCTTGGAAAACATTTGATATATGATGAAATGAATATGTATGAATAATAATAATTTCCACACATAAGTCATCAAGTCAATGCTCAAAATTTCCACACATAAGTCATCAAGTCAATGCTCAAAATTTCCATACATAACTCTATTCCATCTATTCCATTGTCACTTTGTCAGTGACTCCTTCAACTTCACCCTTTCCCTTTTGGAGTATGATACACTCCCAAACATTTATGACACGGCATTTGTTGACTCTTCAATTAATGAACTTCTAAGTCTCCAATTGCCCTATTAAATTTTTGGAATTACTTACAAAATCAAAAATATTTACTAACTACACACTAATATCAATTACATCATTTCCATTTAATTTTACTGAAGTAAATAAACAAACCTAAGAACAATTTGACAAAGAGAATGACTGCTGTAATTGATAGATATTTTTATTTACACGTTTAATTCAAAACAGAGATCAATACAATTTTTTTTATACATTTTGCTCTTGCTTTATGTACTTCTCATACTCCATTCTGCATTTCATGTTTATTTTTCTCAAAAAGGCTACTTAAAACTTGAGCTCTTATATTGGTACCCAACAATATTTATAAGGCCGCTACATCCTACTTCTGAGTAAAAACTGAATAACTAAGTATCATTCATTTAAAGGTAAATTATATTTTGATCCTCAAGTTTAACTTCTTTTTTAGGTTTTGATTCAAAAAAGTTGTCTTACAGATATTTTATTATTTATGTAATGTAATTTAAACCATATTAAATTCAGTTGACCCCACCTCCCCCATCCACGTCCCCTCGTTTTTGAAACACTTATGCAGATTCATGATGGTGAAATCAGATGTGAAACTGAAGAGTGAGGGTTGATCTCAATTAAATGAGCCTTTTATTGTGTTTGGCAAAAAAAAACTTATGTATTACTTATTAGCTTATAGCTTATTGGCTTATAAGCTAATAAGTTAGAGGGAGTTAACTTTTGTATACTCGTAATGACCAGACTCGCTAACCTCCTTGTGATTTCCAGGGACGGGTTCTATAAATTCCTGGTAAACAGCCAGATAAGAGCCATTGCTAGAGATCACCGTACCCGGAAATGAAACCGGCTTCGATTTTGAAATTGTAACAACCCTAACCCGATGAGTAGGCCCTTTCGCCTCCCTTCCTTTCCTCCTCGTCTTCTCTAACCAAATGATCATTTTCACCACCATTGGCCGACGACGGCGATGAAACAGCGTCTAAGCCCTCAATTTAGAGGGTTTTGTATCAGTGGTTAGAGGTTGCAGACAGGGGCGAGAATGGGTGGGAGTCATAGTAGGTTCGATAAGCAGTACACCGTCGACGCTGGACGGAAAGGGAGCGGAGGATTAACGGAAAGGTGGAAAGGGTTTTAACGGGAAAGGGAAATGGTAGAATTAGGTTTGGTGGGGTTGAAGGGCGGGGGGTAAAAATCAGGGGAATTAGGGCTTAGCTTTTCAAAACCAAAAGTCCTTTTTGGAAAAGAAAAAAAAGCAAAAGATGTTTAGCAAACTGGTTTTAAAAGTAACTTTTGAAGTTTTTACATAAGGAAAAACAACTTTTTGGAAAAGTCAGGAAATCCTGACTTTTTGTAACTTTTTCAAAAAGTACTTTTGGGGTTTGAAAAGCTAAGCCAAACACCCCTAAAGATTTTTTATCACTTAACTTTTGTGCATATTTAGTCACTTAACTATTTTTAAGTTTTGAAATAACATCAAACTTTTGCCTTTGTGCTCATTTAGTCACTTAACTTTTAGTTTGGTCACATTTAGTCACATAACTTTTAAAATTATGCTCATTTAGTCACTAAACTTTTAAATTTCTTTACAAGTTTGGTGACTAAATGAACAAAAATTTAAAAGTTAGGTGACCAAATGAGCACAAATCTAAAAGTTAAGTGGCTAAATATGACCAAACCAAAAGTTAAGTGACTAAATGAGCACAAAGTCAAAAATTTGATGACCTTTTGAAACTTAAAAATAGTTAAGTGACCAAATAAACACAAAACCAAAAGTTAAGTGATCAAAAATGACCTAAACCCTTCATTAAAACTCATAAAAAAAATTGAAGCTTTTAAATTAGACAAAATTACATAAATGGTCCTCATGGTTGACAAAATCGACCAATTATGATCCTTATGACGAATTCTTTACACAGATGGTCCCTGTGGTTTCAAAATCTTTCAAAGACGGTCCTTTTGACTAACGACGTTAACTTTTTCAGTTAAGTCCTATGTGAAATGACATATTTGCCCTTCATGCATAAGGACGCTTTATGTAATATGTTTCTACCACAAGGACCATTTATGTCATTTCACATATGACTTAACTGAAAAAGTTAACGCCGTTAATCAAAATGACCGTCTTTGCAAGATTTTGAAACCACAGGGACCATCTGTGTAAAGAATTTGTCATGAGGACCATAATTGATCGATTTTATCAACCATGAGGACCATTTATGTAATTTTGTCTTTAAATTATATTAAATTCAATAAAAATTACTTACTTTTGGTCGATGAAATCAAAAAAATTAGAGGTTTTTTAAATTCTACTAAATTTTGTGTCCAGGTGAATTTCTTTGGCCAAAAACAAAAAACAAATATTTTAGATTTTGTTTTTTATGTTTTATTATAAAGACAATGAAGTGTTTGAGACTTTTTATTTAAATTGATAAATATTTTTTAACTTATTAATTTATTAATTTATAACGGTACGAAAATAACTTATGTGGTGTCAAAACGCTATAAGTTGATTAACACTTTCTAGCGTTTGGTAAAATGACCAAAAAAATGTTTCATAAAGGTATGAGACGACTATACATTATAAGGAGTTTTGATAAGTTAAATGGAGTAACTTATTAAAAATAGTTTATCCCTGGTTTCATACCACTATAAGGAGTTTTGATAAGTTAAATGGAGTAACTTATCAAAAATAGTTTATCCCTGGTTTCATACCACTATAAGTTGTTTCTAAAAAACTCTTTATCAAATTATTCATTTTAACTTATACCGATATGAAATCTGTAATAAATTAAAAAAAAAAAAAAATCATTTTTAAGCTTAGCCAAACACCATCGATATATCTTCTCCTAGCACCTATTCATCCTAACCATTATTCATTAAATCAAAATATATTATCATCATCTCTCCCACACCCCGCCCGTCCATGTATCCACAACACACTAGGGATGAAACTGGGTTCAAACCCAGACCAAATGGACCTAGACCTGGAAAACCCAGAATCGATTAATGGAATTTTGTAGAACCGGAAATTGGACTGGTATATAGGAACCAGTTCCGGGTACGGTACCGGGTAAAATGTGTCTAGAACCGGAAAACCCAAAAACATCAAAGTGAGTAGGTTGGAACCGAATAAAGTGAGTTTAAAACCAAAAACCTAAAAAAAACCGAAATTTTTTTGGCAGTTACTTACTACTTAATGGGTTGAACTCTGAAAATTTTCATATTGATATCTCAAATTCGAGGGACTGTAAGTCATTGAATATGAAACTAAAATTGACAAAATTATAGTCTAAAATCATGTACAAACTCTAAACTACACTCCGGGAAAACCCGCATGTCAATCCGACTTGAAACGAATGAGATATGCATGTGTTAATGTTTTCACATAATACAAAGTACTAAAACAAATAGCTGAAAAGTTGAAAATTTTCAGCTTTGATATCCCGACTTCGGAGGATTGTAAGTCATTGAATATTAAACAAAAAATAATAAAATTATATTCTAAAATCATGTACAAACTCTAAACTAAAAGTTGGAAAAACTTCATGTTAATCCGGCTTCAAACAAATTAGATATGTATGTTTTAAAACTTTCACAGAACACAAAAAGTTGAAAAACAAAAAACTTATAGCTTTGATAACTCGACTTTAGGTGACTATAAATCAATGAATATAAAACTAAAAATGACAAATTTATAGTCTAAAATCATGTATAAACTCTAAACTACACATTGGAAAAAATATGTATGTCAATCCGACTTAAAACGAAGGAGATATGCGTGTTTTAAACGTTTCACAGAAACCAGATCCGACCTCTAAAAGTGGTTCTAGTTCCGGTTCTAGGACCCGACGGACCCAAACCCGGGCTACCCAAAACCCGGATAAAGCTAATTTTTAAGTCCTTAACCGAAACCGATTCTAAATATTTCGGTTCTAAGGATTCTGGTTCCGGTCCGATTCTGGTTCCGGTTTTAAATCTCATCCCTACAACACGCCCCACTGTAACACCCACACATGTACACACACCCTCTTGCCCAACCCCAAATGTTATTTAGAGGGGTGTGTCTTCAAGTTACAAACAGGGGAAATTGAGTAATCTAATTATTTGAAAAAAAAAACAATTTTTAGCAAAAATAACCATTTTGTCCGAAATAGACATTCCAGAATAAGAAAAAACACGTTTTTTGACTAATTCTGGACTACGGTTCACATTTCGGACTAAAAATTCGAATTTTAGGGGAAAACTATTATAATTTCAAGAACAAGTCTGAAAATCCGAAGAACAATTTCGGAATTTCGAGAAAAAACCGTTTTTTACTTAAATTTAACAAAATGTTAAACAAATACAGTAAATATGGCTATATATTCAACAATTATAATGGCGCTATTTTTTTTTCTTTCAAAAAAGTGACTCATAATTTTAAACGGTTTTAGAAAAAAAAAACAATTCATATTTAAATAACTATTTAAAAAAATAAGATTTTTAACTTTTTTCTTCAGAGTATTAACGTAATTTTTTACCATGAAACACAATTTCTTAATAGCTATGGGAGTGAATGACTTATTTTTTTTGTTAAAACTAAATAAGATTGGAAATTTTGATTTTTTATTTTGGAAAATACCAAACCAATTGTTTTTTATTTTGATTTTGGTTTTTCAATATTTTTTTAATATTTTATTTGGGGTTTTGTTTTGTTTTGTTTTTTTTTTATTTTTTTTTATTTATTAATTTAGTAAAACATAATACAAGAGGAAGTTTGTTCACATTTAGTCATTGAATTTTCTTTAAAGGGAAACGAACTTTCAATTTTGTTCATATTTAATCACTAAAATTTTTTACATTCTTTATTTATCACTGAACTATTGAAATTGTTCACATTTTACTCTTATGAACAAAGTCATTATCCTTATTGAAAAACAATGATATTAAACCCTTATAAATAGACATTTCAGACATAATTGATGATATTAAAAAAAAAAATGGGAAAAAACCAAAAAACAATTCCGAAATTTGAAGATCAAACTCGGATGGAGCATTTCGGAATAGATCATTCTTTGAAAAAATTGAAAAGTAGTTTGGAATGTGAACAATATTTGTAAACCAGGCGTATTTTAGGTGCAATAGAAAAACCTTAAAAAATGGTTAGATTACTCAATTTCCCTATTTTAGGTTCACTAAAGTTCTTATGGCTTTTGTAAAATGTTGATGCCGTGAAAGTATCCGTTGAGAAAGGACATGCACTTTTTGGTATCATAGACTCCTAATTAATATGGAATTTTACTAGAGGTGTTGATAACGGTGCATATATTGCTCATATCTCTAAGGAATCAGGAACCATGTGTATTAACTATAAAAGACTTAATTTGGTTAGATCAACATTGGGAACCTTTATGATTCATAAAGACATTCTACCAAAAAAAAAAATTTGTAAGAAATTCCAAGGTTATTGGTCAACTAGGAAAAGGATGGATGATTACTGGAATCCCGATTTCAAGATGGTTAGGTGATCAACATGCATCAATGTTAGCTTAACCTTTATAGGAAAGGACTGAGAAAAGGCACTTAAGGAGCAACTGTTTATATACTTTTTAACATAGGTTGGGATGTGCTTGATTTGAAACATGGTTTGTTGACCACTTCAACTTCAAAGTTTGGGAAGATGTGCCTACAAACTGTGCTCTAGAGGACCCAAATGCTATTGCTGGAGCAGTTGTTCAACTACTCAACCGTTGGTGTTTACTTGTGAGGAATGACATGACAAATAAATAATTTTCCATCCTTTTTGTACCATAAATCAATGTAAGTTTATTAAAGCGGAGAAATAGGTGTAAGTTCTAGTAACTTGTTCAATTTTGCAACCTACCATAAATCAAATTATTTTGCGTCATAAAAGAGATGTAGAAACACTTAAATCACTAGAATCTTCTAATGCATCATCTGACGTATATAATTATACTAGTTGTAAGACTCATGTATTACATGAGTTAATTTAAAGAAGAAAAAGTTAAATATAAAAGTCAAAATATTTGAGAACTTTGAATTTATAATAAAATAAAAAAAATAATGAATTATCATAATTGAAATATTTTTATATTTTAAATTTAAACAAATAATTTATATAAACAAACAAAAGAAACTAATAACCTTTAATTTGAAATTTTTGAAATTAAAAGGTAAGTTCCTTAATGAATTGATATCCATTTATTGCAATTATTACATTAAAATATTATATGAAAATTAATAAAATTAAAAAACTCATAAAATGACATGTGAAAAAAAATAATTCAAAATAACTATAAAGTGACATTTGGCAAATTGAATGAGAGCGTGACATGTGGAAAAAAAAACTTTATTTATTAGAGTAGATACAAAAACATAGAAATATGAATACATATGGAAACAAGTTTGCATTTATTCTATCACAAATTCTTAAAGAGGTCCTACCTACAGAAGATCATAGAAGGCTTCCATACTAAATCATAAAGGAAGTAATAACATGTATATATACAATCTTCAACCCAGTCTAGCCACCTTCTACGCCACCGAGGATTGGTATAAAGTATTGCAACAAATCCCAATAAGAACACAAAACATGTCGAACTAGAACTTCCATAGAAATATGTCATATCAATATCATACCATTTCTCATGGTCTTCTTCGGCTGATGGATTGGTCACTTGTGGATTTGTGGTGCATTTCTTCTCCAATGGTGGTCCACAAAGAAGTGGATTACCTTCATAACTCTCCTCCGTGAAGGTACCAAACTGTGACTTCATTTCTGGGAGTCTGCCTGAGAGACTGTTGTGAGAAACATTGAAAATAGACAAGGAGGTAAGCTTAATGAGTTCTGATGGAATTGTGTTGGTCAAACCATTTGAAGAAAGGTCCAAGCTCTCTATCTTTGCAAGATTTGAGAAGCTCACTGGAATGAGTCCAATTAGTTGATTGTGAGACAGGTTTAAAGCACGAAGTTGGGTTAAAAACCCGACTTCTTCTGGAATTTCACCTGTAAGTTTGTTATTAGATAAATCCAATCCCGTCATGTAATCAAGGATGCCACCCTTGTAGCGGAGAAAGAGACTTTTCGTTGTATACTGTACTTCGTCTTGTATTCCCAAGGCTTCACCGCCAAGGAAGATTGTACGCAACCCCCATATAATACTCTCATAATGGTAAGAGGAATCATACGAATACAATGATTTGCTTCTTTTTAAGAAAACAAGGTCACTTGGGCCGGTAATATTATGTAGGCAGCTAGGTATTGAGCCAGAAAATGAGTTAGCGGATAAGTCTATGAAACTCATATTACTTAATTGACACAACTGCCTCGGAATAAAACCGTTAAAGTTATTTTTTCTCAAAAGAAGAATCCTTAAATTGGATAGTTCGCCAAGAAATTTAGGAATCCTGCCTGACAAGTTGTTGCCGATGTCTAAAGTCAAAACATTAGTCAAATTACGAAAGAAATTGGGTATTGATCCAGTGAATCTGTTGGAACCCAAATGAAGATGCTCCATATATTGCAAATTTGAGCAGGATGGGATGGGCCCAGAAAAAGAATTTTGTGAGATATCAAGAAATGAGAAAAAAGCTGCTCCGCAAGGAAACCTGCCTTCCAAACTATTATTTCTCACCACAAGTTCAGACAAGCTACTCATGTTGGTAAGCCAATCCGGGATCAAACCTGTAAAAAAGTTATTGCTTATATCCAGAAGAGTCAGAGATTCAAATTTTTGTTTGCTTTTAATTCCAATTTGCCCTGTGAAATGGTTGCTATCTAAATAAACCCATTGGAGAGTACTCCAACTTAAATTTCCTGCGAGTATCTGGCCATGCAACTTGTTGTTTGATAGTTTTAAGAAACCCAATTTGGAGGTGTTTGTAAACAATCCCTTTGGCACTTCACCAGATAACGCATTCTCAGATAAATCTAGTACCCATAATTTACTCAATTCACCAACTGAGGAAGGGATAACACCACTTAAAGCATTCATAGACAAATTCAAAATACTTATGTTGGGAAAAAACTTTGGTATGTCATATGGAATAGTACCTATCATGTGATTTTGAGACACATCCAACCACTTCATATTAGCATTCATATGCAGTGGCATACCACCAAACAAGTTATCACGTAGAATAAGAACTTCCAGATTCGAATTGTTCCTAATTAACCAATTTGGTAATTGTCCCTCCAAGGAGTTGTGAGACATGTCTACTTGTCGTAAATTGTGTTGGTGAAGTAGAAACCCAGGAATAATACGTCCTTTAGGCATTTTCATATTACAATTAGATAGCTCAAGAATTTTCAACTGGAACATTGGAATCCAATCTATAGGCTCCTCTGTTTCCACCTCAAATATGTCATTGTCACTTCTGAATCGAACTACCTCAAGCTTTTTATGATTGGAGAATGAGCTGAAAGAGAATGAACCTTCAAAATTGTTATGACTAAAATCAATGTACTCAACAGATGTGAGATTAGCAATGAGTGATGGTGGAAGTATCCCTGAGAATTGGTTTGAAGAAATATCCAACAACTTAAGAGATGTTAGACTGTCAAAACACTGAGGCAGACTTCCATGGAGCATGTTGTTACTAAGATCCAACTCCTGGAGATTCTGTGACTCACAGAATCCTGCCAAAAAAAAAGTGGTTCACCCATTTAGGCATCTGAAAGAGTAACTATTGGAGAAAGGCCAATTTAGCCATACCGTAACAGCATTTCATTTATGCATTTGTCCGAAAAAATCCTAGACTTCTAATCGTGCAATATTCTTCAGATAACTTACCATCATCAGATAATGAGCCATTAAGACTATTTTCAGCGAATGAGAGAACTCTTAGGGAAGATAATCCCTGTATTGTTGATGGGATGCTCCCAACAAAACTGTTTTCACTCAAATCCAAGATCTCAAGATGATGGAAAGATGCAAAAGCTAGATGAAAACAAGAGAAGAGAAGGTTACTAATTAATAAAAACCCTGAAAAAGGATTTGTTATAAGTGATGATTATTGATGAATGAAGCTGGTTAAGCTGTGGGGAAAAACCGCTACCTTCCATTGGAAGTGTTCCACTGAAACCATTACGTCTCAAGAGGACTTCCAAATCACGCAAATCATTAAACTCTGAATTACATAGAAGGACGTGTTAAACAATTAGCAAGAAAGAGAAATTAATAAATAATAATGAAGATGAAATATAGTATTTTAGTTTTTTAACGATGACTCCTTTTGAGGTAAACATGCCTTGGACAGGAAAGGAAGTTCCCAGTGAAGTTGAATAGGATAGATCAAGAATCTTGAGGGATGGGAGGGCAGTTAAGCATGATATGATGCTCTTGTTGAAACTGTTACCAGAAAGATTTATACTCTCCAGCCTTTTCATTCTTGATAAGCTCTTACAGTCTGCAAAAGGGAAGGCAATTCTTAAAGAAACCATGCATGGTCTTATCAAGCATGTAACTATAAATCTTCATTTACCTTGGATATTGGGTGTGCCAAGGTACCAGGTATTACTTAAATCCAACTTCTTTAAGTTAATCAGATGAGCTAATTCTGTCATATGAAAGAAAAACATATATCACACATCATGCTTGCTATTTTCATATGTACATTTTGAAGCTAGTTTGGTGCATTATATGTTCGCTGGTATTTTTACATGATTGTAACTAGGTACCCTTATTTAACGTGCAATACCAGTTCACCACAATAGGCATTATATTTGATAAATGTTTTTCAAGGGATGCTTATATAAGTAATTAAAAGATTATAGGTGTTTCGGTTGCGTTAATCTAATTAACAATTAGATATATGTTCACAAACACTGTATAGATATGCGTTCTCATGTATCACCGTAAATTGGAAACAATGGAAAAGCTCTTTCTGGAGAACATATATGAAGTATAAAAATACATCCACTTTTACTTCTGTTATGCATTAGTCAAAAGAATTAAGACTCCATTACATTTTTCTTTTGTCCAATAAAAGAAACAGGCCATATTTCAAATTTCAAAACCTGGAAGAGTCATTCTGTTAGGGTCGACTTGTAATGTCGCAAAAGGTAAATTTGTGTATGAATCCAATGTGATTATATATTAGCATGATGGGTTTAAGATGACAAATTGATTACCTTGAATCTCAAAGGTAATATTAAAGTAACAAAAGCTTAGAGACAACACCTCCAAGTTCTCTAAAGCTGCAAATTTTGCAATTCATGTAAAAAAGGTGTAATTAGTACCTTTAAAATATGCATTTCTGCATGATAAAAAAAGGGAATGAAAGATATGACAAGAACATGCCACTGATAGGGTAGTTTCCATTCAAGCCTGTGTGGCTTAGATCCAAGATTTTGAGTGAAGTGAGTGTACTCAATGATGGAAGAATGTCGTTATCAATATCATAATTCAAACTGAGGTCTAGTATCTCCAACTTTTTCAAACTCGACAACCTTTCAAGTCCTGCAAAAGAAAAAAAAAAGTTTTTTATCAAAGGCATCCTAGTCTTTTGATATTTTAGGGACTACTTTCCGGGCACAGATAGTAGTTATATACAGATAAGATTCGGCATGAATTGCAGCTTCTGAAGTAAAGACTTGTGTTTGGTCTATTTTTACTTAGAGCAACCGTAATTTTATTAAAATAGCTAAAGGCCAGAAAAAGAGGGAAGAAAATTACATCCCATATATTAATTGGATGTTGAGTCTATGAATTTGAAAAAAAGATGATGTTGGAACCGGATGAAAAAAAATAACTAAAGCAATTAATCACATTGTACTATACCTGTCTTCATAATCTCTAATTTATCAAGAAAATCATATGATAGATTGAGACTTGTCAACTCTCTAAAATGAAGAAACAAGGAAACATTCAATGGCCACAACTGGATCCCAAGCTCCATGTTTTCATCTACCATTCCTCTCAAATTGTACAAAGAAAGCTCTATGACATGCCCGGTGGTTGTGTTGCAGTTGACCCTCTCCCAATCACAACAATCGCTGCCACCATCCCCAGGGGTACTACTGCCATAATCAACCCAAGTAGGGAGAAAATCGTCAATTTCAGAATCATATGACTTCATATGGGAGGCCTTGATTTCGAGTAGCGCCTTTCTCTCCTCTACTATACAATCTCCTTGTGTTTGCCCGACCATTAGAATATTTATCATCATCAACATCAAGGACCGATATACCCATGATTTACTCTGACTCACAACCCAACACTCCATTTTAGTAGCTAACGATGACTTTATAGAGACACAAACTTCCGGTTTAGTTTGGTTTGGTTTTATTTGCTTGGTATATGAACAGATATGTAATGAGGCATGGAAAACAATTTATATGTGATAAAGTGAATATGTTTGAATATTAATTGCATAATTCTCCGCCATTCATCAAGTCAATGGTCGATCTCCACACATAACTCTATTCCATCTATTCCATTGTCAACCATTCCTTCAACTTGTCCCTTTTGGAGTATCAAGTATGATACAGTTACACTCCCCAAAACTTATGATTCGACATTTGTTGACTTTTCAACGAACTTACAAGTCTCCATTCACATAGCATATTTTTCAATTGCTTATATAAACAAAAATATTTATTAGCTAAACATTAATATTATCACAATCATTTCTTTTACATAATTTTCATTCAAGATTTCTAAAGTATATAAATAATCCTAAGAAGAATTTGACAAAGAGAATGACTAGTGTAATTAATAGATATTTTTATTTAAGCATTGAATTCCTGTACTCCTTTCTGCATTTCAAGCTTATTGTTACTCAAAATAACCACTTAAAACTTGAGCTCTTACACAGGTACCCAACAATATTTATAAGCTAATGGCTGGTTAATAGGTAAGCTGATTTACACCATGAATCTCATAGCAGCATGGGTCGGTTTGGGTCGGTTTTGACCTAAAACCGAACCCAACCCAATAAAATCGGTTTTCAAAAAAATAAAAACCGAACCAAGAACCCAAACCGTCGGTTCGGTTTCTCGGTTTTTAATTTCTACATGGGTCGGTTCCGGGTTTAAACCCGAACCCAATATTAACTCAAGTAAACTAATATGGGGTAGGATAGAGGTATTGATTTCTTATATTAAGGGTGAAACATGTGTAACTTTCATACATTCGTCGATGTGGGATAGACCAAGTTCCAAATTAAAATAGAAAATTTTGACAAGGAGGAAGATTCGAACCCTTCACATCAGGTTCAAGGGGAAGATTCTCAACCGCTGGGCTAAGAGGACGTTTGCATATCTAATTCGCACCTTAGCTTATATATATTCATATTATTATATATACAAAAACATGACACTAAACCGTTGAGTCGGTTTCTCGGGTTGGATGGGTCGGTTTCAATGCAAAAACCGAAACCGAACCCGATATTTCGGTTTTTAAAAATTTAAAACCCAAACCGTCGGTTTTGCTTCGGTTTCGGTTTTTTCGGTTTCGGTTTCGTCGGTTTTGGTCGGTTTTCCGGTTTCTTGGTTCGGGTTTGCTCACCCCTACTCATAGGTAATAATTTTTGAAGAACAAACAAAAGCATAAAGGGTCCGATATTAAGAGAGTTTTGTATCAATAGACACATTTGTAATAATTTACTTCGATATATTAGAAGTTATTTTCAAAGATAAAGATTGTAATTTCAAATATTATATTAGAAGGCCACAGCATCCTACTTATGAATTTAAAACGGAAGTACTGATTATCATTCATTTAGAACTATATTATATTTTGATTTTCAAGTTTAACATATTTTTTCAGTTTTGGTCCAAAAAAGTTGTCTTACAAATTTAGTCCTTAATTTGACGTTTTTATAACGATTTTGGCCATCATCTCATATATACCTTTATCTACTCTTTTTATGATATTTTACTATTATGTAAATTATTGTATACCATATTATATTAAGTTGGCCCCACCTCCCCCATTCATATCCCCTCATTTTCTAAAGCAGATTCCTGAACCCTGATGTAAAAAGTTATGTGGATCTTTACAGATGACGCACAAACACATATATGCCCACACATAACAAGAAAATAAAATCCACCTACCATACCTTTGTAGACTCGCACAGCTCCTTGCGGTTCTCATGGATCGATCATATCAATTCCTGGTAAACAGCGAATTGAGAGCCATTGCTAGAGAGCACGATAACCCGACAATGAAACCGGCGTCAGCGAATTTGAAATTGCAACAACCCTAACCCGATGAGTATGCTTAACCTTTCACCTCCTTTCCTTTCCTCCTCGTCTTCCCTAACCACATAACCATTTTCACCACAATTCACCGACGACGGCGAGGGTACAGAGTCTCGGACCTCGATTTAGAGGGGTGGTAGAGGGTGAAGGCAGCGGCGAGATGGTGTGTGTGTGTGGGTGGGTGGGGGGTGTTCATAGTGGATTCTATAAGCGTGACACCGTCGAGTCGACGGAAGAGGAAGCGGAGAACAAACGGAGGGGTGGGAAGGGTTTTAACTGGAAAGGGAAATGGAGGAGTGCGGTAAAAAACAAAGGGAAATGCATTTTCTAGGGTTTACCCGAGTCCCTTAACTAGATGATTCTTTTAGTTCATATCAACCTATACTATAATAGTCGGTTTAGTGACATTTTAGATTAAAAAAACTCATAGAGGATTCTTATAAAGCCAAAAAAATAAGTTTGGGGATCAATTCATACAAAAAAAAAAACTCTGGTTTTCTTCTAAAATCAATTCACACTTAATTAGTATTGATCCCCGAACTTATTTTTTTTTAATTTATAGGGTATACTGTGAGTTTTTTTTATCTAAAAGGTCACTGAACGGGCTATTACAGGTTGACAAAGACTAAAAGACCAGGTCATATCCTAGTTTAGGGATCTATAAAGCCCGACAAAAGCTTTAGAGACTGAACGGGTAAACCTTATAAACTTCGTAGGGCATTTGTGTTATTTTCCCAAAACAAAATAGAATAAAGACTAAACTACAAAAATGATCCCTGTATTAGTATGACTTTACAAATTTAGTCCTATTTTTCAAATTTGTCAAAATTGGTCCTTATTTTAGGTTTCGATTACACATTTCGTCCATATCTTTGTTACTTTTTTATTGAATCCGCTAACCACCCTCATGTGCCCCTCATATGAGGGGTATTTGAGTCATTTTACTACTTTCCAAACCAATGATCATCTTCTTTTATCATCGACATCCTTCACCCATCTTGAGTAATTTCTGGCAATCTTCTTCTCCCACAACCTTCATAATCCTTCACTTTTTCCAACAACCACCCTATCGTTAAATTTTGGCAACCCTCTCCCACTTCTAGTTTTTTTTCCTTGAACAAACCCAATTTAAAGCTAATTTAACGAAAGGAAACATCATCCTAAATGTTCATTTCCTTCCTTTTGTATGTTAATTGTGAAGATCATTCTTCCATTGATTTTCAAGGTAACAAGTTACACATTTTAAGGAAGTTTCTCAATGTAACAAGTTAGTAGGTTATATGCTCAAAATTGTTGTTATAACAAGTTATTCGACCTAAACCATGCAAGTGAGTGACTCTTGGGGCCATTATAACAAGCATATGCAAACTATATTGCACGTTGTAAATTTATGAAACACAATTGCATGCCATCTTTCTTTATGACGAGGGTTAAATACATGTATTTGCATGTCATTTGTCCCCTTTTATGACACGTAATGTATGTCATTAAAGACATATTTTATAGTGGTGTATAACAAACTAAATGTGAATAAATTCAAAGTTGAAGGAGTTATATGTAAAAGAAATATTCAAATATATTTGGTGTTAATGAATATTTTAACAACATATTTGGTTTATGAGAAATTAAATATCCTCCTACATTTTATTCCTACTTATCTTCTTATCCTATAAAATGTTGACATGTGGCATATTTAATGACATATATAATGAAATTGATAATATTTTAATCCACTTATCACCATTTAATATAGATAGAAGAATATTAGGAATAAAATGTAGGAGGATATTTAATTTCTCTTGGTTTATACCATTTATCAATATCATATTTGATGTAAAAAATTATGTTGCATTGATGCAAATTTACACCAAGAAAAAGTGCAAATATAGGATTTACAATTCAATTGAAAATTCCTCAAATCAAGTTATTTTTTACACTTTTTCAAAATAAAATAAAAATAAATGTAATTGATAAATGCTCCAGAAAGAAATTTAAAATATCTAAACATATAAACCTCTAATTTAATAAAGACAAAATTATGTGATGTAGTCTTGTGGTTTGTAACGTCATGATTTTCACAACTAAAATTTTCATTTTTAAATTAAGTAAAATCATTGTTTCTAAGAAAAACCAAGTCATGAAACCATAAGTATTAAAATACAATCATCCCAAAAATCAAAGTATCATAACAATACGAAATCATGAAAGATGTTGATGAGAGTGTACAATCTAGCATTCGTCTTCTCACAATCATATTAAGTACCTAAAACACATTTAAATCCACAAACAACAAGTGTGAAGCTTAGTAAGTTACCCTAAATATCACATACAACACAACATAATAAACAATTATGGGCTATCAGCAACTCGAGGACTATCAGCAGTCCTATGGGCTCTCAACAACCATATGGGTTATCAACAACGACTATCAGTAGTCCTGGAGTTATTAACAACTCAAATAACACACATAACAAAAATCAACAAATAAGACTTAGTTAGTCTAACATGCACCCCATTATGACATAGGTAATATGGTGAGAATACTCACCTTGTATATAGCAGCTTGACATAACACAACATTACTCAAATGGTGAAGACCGACCCTAAGAATCACCTAACTAACAATATAAAAATTTCACTCTTAGTCTACACTCTATAACCCCCAGGTTGACCAAAAGTTAACATGGTCACGAAGTCAATGGTCAAAGTTAGCGGTTAAAGCTAGCCCCGGCCAACCCCTATATCGTAGATACCATTTGGCCACACTATGGCAGCATTAGGATAAAATCAGTCGCAGGAGTGTCCATCACCACATCATGGTGGTCAATCCACCACGTCATAGGAACATCTCTAGACAGCTTAATGCATTAAGCTCTTAATCTTTCAAGCTATACACTCAAACTTTCTAAAAGGCTTTATTCACCCCAAAGCATCATAAAAATCGCTTTATAGACATGCATGTCTTGATCTCAAGTTATATCAATATGGATAAAAAAGAGATCGAGATCTCATGTATGAACCCAAAATTCAACAACTCTCCAGATATGGGAAACTAGACCACGAAGGAACTTTAAGAACCCATAAAACTGCCAACTTTATGGAGTATATACGAGTAACCCACCCCAAACATGGAAGAAATTGGATAAAAACCTAGATCTAGCATTCTTGACACATAAAGGTAGGAGCTTGAGGACTTACAAGAGTCTGAAAACAACACGGGATGTAAAAAAAAATATTATATAACATTATAAGTAACAAATATTATATATAGAAATTTATTATACAAATAATAACCTACATGCGATCCATTTGTAAAAAAAAAAAAATTGGAGCAGATTTACCCAGCAAAATAATGCAAAAAAGAATAATTTAGATTTCGGGTTTGTGACGCCCTTAACAAGTTTTTTTTTTTATTTTTATTATTATTATTATTATTATTATTATTATTATTATTTTACATATTTTTAATAATAAAATAAAGACAAAAATTAAATGATAGAACTATATATCTAAAGAGAATAAACCTTAAATTTAGTTAATATAATAAACATATTTTTAATGTAATAAAAGGTTGTTGGTTTATTGATGGGCCTGAGCCAAATTCTTTTAAGTTTTTTTTCCCTTTTGCTTGGCTCTTGGGTTCTTCACACAAAGAAATCGATTTTGGTTTTGTAAAAGGACGATTAGGCAGAAGAAAATCACGAATGAACGATAAAATAAAAAATTACAAGGAGGTCGATTCAGTGCAAAACCTTTTACAAATGTGGTTAGGTTCTTATACTTCTGATTCACTCACAGGGTAGTTTGTAAATTGGATTTGTGAACTTCGTTTATTGGTAAATTTTGAGCAATTTTGTATAGAAGCGTTGCCGAACTGCTAGGGTTGACACCAAATCTAGGGATTTTTCCAAAATCGTTCTAATATTTTGCATATCTTTTCTTAATCATTTAATTGGATACATAAATATTAGTATGTATTTGGAGCAGATGATGTTAAATATTAATAATTTTTTCAATGTTTAGATGTTTTTCCTGTGATTAGCTAGTTTGTTTCATTATTAACATCGATTTAGATCTTTATATGTTTATGTGTAATCTACTGCTGATAATGAGATTGATAATTACCACTCTGTTTTATGTTCTCACAAAATTGAAGTATATGGCTGGAGAACTTAACAACCACTCCAAGTTATTGAATATTCTTTACAGATTTAAGCATTAGGTTCTGGTAGGACTAATTAAGACAAACTGTAAACCATCAGCATTGCATCGACGGTCATTAAATCAGGATTTCTGCTCATTGGTAACATGGAATAATAGTGGTTTGTTTATTTAGAATCGTTGATATTTGTATTAAACAACCATCAAAATATTACATCAACACCAACACCCAATACTGCTTTGTCTTTTATTGGATTTCACAAGTAGTTAATGCATTACATGTGATTACGAAGTTATATCATTAAAATTGTAACGTAACATTTTGAATAAGCAACTTAGTACATTTGGGTTACCTTTTACCTAGTGTTAGTCGATCTTTAAATTCTTTATTTTATCAGGGGATAAACCCATCTTGTAAAATCCTGTGGTTTGCCTACAGACATATTTTAGTTAATTCGGATTTTTACTCATATCTTTAATGCATCAAGAACCATGCTTCTGAGTTTTAAAACACCTGATTGGGAGGAATCAACATTGCAAACATCAGAGATCCCTAAAGCTATTTGAAAGCAAGGCCCAGGTTATTGATCTGGAATCCTGATTTCCGGATGTTTAGGAGATCAACATGTAATGTTGGGTCAACATTGTAGGAAAAGTGATCAGGAGGCGATTCATTTGAAAAAAAAAATTAGTAGAATCTTTTTTTATACATCATCATACATATGAATACACATACAAACAAGTTTGCATTTATTTTATCACGCATTCTAATGGAGGTCCTGCTTATGAATGGTCAGGGAAGGCTTCCTTGCCAGATCAGAAAGGGAGTAATAAAATGTAAACATACAATCTTCAACCCAGTCTAGCCACCTTCTACGCCACCAAGGATTGGTGTAAAGAATTGCAACAAATCCCGATAAGAAGACAAAACATGTGGAACTAGAACTTCCGTAGAAGCATGCCATATCGATATCATACCATTTCTCATTTTCTTCTTCTCCATCTGATGGATTGGTCAGCTGTGAATTAGTAGTTGTGCATTTCTTCACGAGTGGTGGTCCACAAAGAAGTGGATTCCCTTCATAGCTTGCCTCTGTGAAGGTACCAAATTGTGCTTGCATTTCTGGGAGTCTGCCAGAGAGATTGTTACGAGAAACATTGAAAGTAGATAGAGAGGTAAGTTTAGTGAGTTGTGAAGGAACTTTTCCGGTCAAACCATTTGAAGAAAGGTCCAAGCTCTCTATTTTTGCAAGATTTGAGAAGCTCACAGGAATGGGTCCAGTCAGCTGATTGTGAGACAGGTTTAAAGCACGAAGTTGGGTTAATAATCCAAGTTGTTGTGGGATTTCACCTGTTAGCTTGTTACAGGAAAAATCCAATCCCGCCATGTAATCAAGTATGTGTCCCTTGTAGCTGAGAAAGAGCCTTTTTGTTGTATACTCAACTTCATCATCTGTTTTGAATGCATAGAACATGGAGTTGCTAGAAAACGACCACCGTAGAATCCTCCCATAATTGAAATAGTGACCAAAGGAAAACCCTATCATGACAGTTTTTAGGAAAGCAAGGTCGGTTGGGCCGGTAATATTTTGAAGGCAGCTAGGTACTGAACCAGAAAGTGAGTTACCAGATAAGTCTAACAAACTCACTTTACTTAATTGACACAACTGCTTCGGAATAGAGCCACTCAAGTTATTTTTTCTTAAAAGAAGAATCCTTAAAGTGGATAGTTCACCAAGAAATTCCGGAATCCTGCCTGACAAGTAGTTGTTGCCAATGTCCAAAGTCAAAACCTGAGTCAAATTACGAAAGGATTTGGGTATTGATCCAATGAATTTGTTGGAACCCAAAAGAAGATGCTCCATGTCTTGCAAATTCAAACAGGACGGGATGGGTCCGGAGAAAGAATTATGGGAGATATCAAGAAATGAAAATGGAGCTGCTCCACAAGGAAATGGGCCTTGGAAACTATTATTTCTCACAAGAAGTTCAGACAAGCTACTCATGTTGCCTATCCAATCAGGGATGATGCCTGTAAACAAGTTATTGCTAATATCCAGAACTCTCAGATATTCATGAGTTTCCTTGCTGCTATTAATTCCAATCTTCCCTGTGAAATGATTGCTGTCTAAGTAAACAAATTGGAGTCGAGCCCAGCTTAAGCTTCCTGAGAGTACCTCGCCATGCAATTTGTTGTTTGATAGTTTTAAGAAATCCAACCCAGAGACATTTGTAAACAACCCCTTTGGTACTTCTCCAGATAACTCATTATCAGATAGACCCAATATCCATAATTTACTCAATTCACCGACTGAGGATGGGATAACACCACTTAAACTATTCATGGACAAATTCAAATACTGTATGTTAGGAAAGAACTTTGGTATATCGTCAGGAATAGTACCTATCATTCCATTTCCAGACATATCCAACCCCTTCATATTAGCATTCCTATACAAAGGCATGCCGACAAACAAGTTGTTCCTTAGAACAAGACGTTCCAGATACGTGTTGTTTTTAACCAACCAATTTGGGAAGTGTCCCTCCAAGGAGTTCTGTGACATGTCTAGTTGCTGTAACTTGTGCTGGTGAACTAGAAACCCAGGAATGACATGTCCTTTAGGCATTTTCATATTACAATTAGATAGCTCAAGAATTTCCAACTGAAACATTGGAATCCAACCTATAGGCTCTTCTGTTTCCACCTCAAACTTGTCATTGTCGCTTGTGAATCGAACGAATTGAAGCTTTATATGATTGGAGAAGGAGCTGAAGGAGAATGAACCTTCAAATACGTTATGACTAAAATCAATGTACTCTAGAGATGTAAGATTAGCAATGAGTGATGACGCAAGTATTCCCGTGAATCGATTTGAAGAAATATCCAAAAACTTAAGAGATGACAGATTTTTCAAACAATCAGGCAGAGTTCCATGGAGCATGTTGTTGCTAAGATCCAACTCATGGAGGTTCTTCAACTCACACAACCCTGTCAAACGACCAAAAAAAAAAAAAAAAAGGTTATGCGTAAGCCATGAAACTCAAAAGGTAAGTTACAAAATATTAACCTTCAAGAAATATATGACTTGCATTTGCATGGTCATACGGCTTCAAAAAGATTAAACATCGAGGAAAGGTAATGTTACAAAATAATCACAAGACAGACACGTGCATGCTTTAGCTAACCTACCATGATCCGGTAATGAGCCGTTGAGCTTATTGCGAGCAAATGAGAGAGCTCTTAGGGAAGATAATGCCTGTATTGCTGATGGGACGCTCCCAACAAAACTGTTCCAACTCAAATCTAAGACCTCCAGATGGTGAAAAGATGCAAAAGCTGGATGATCGATAAGAAGAGAGGATTGGATAAGTAGGTTACTAAACAAAAACCCTGAAAAAGGATTTGTTACAACTACAAGTCATGTATGATTGATGGTTGAAGCTAGATAATGTGGTGAGCCACCTACCCACCCGCCTCTGTAATCTTTCATCTAAATTTGGCTGAGTTGTTTAGCCAATAATAATAATGTCATTAATTAAGTCGCGACGGATGAACTTTACCTTCAATTGGTATTGTTCCATTGAAACCATTACCGCTCAAGAGGAGGACCTCCAAATCAGACAAATTAAGGAATTCTGATTAAGGCATAGAGTCGTGTCAATCATTTTGATAAAACAATTAGCAAAAATCGAAATGAATAAATAATATTTGTATTATATTTCTTTTAAGATAAACATGCCTTGGACAGGAAAGGAAGTTCCCAGTGAAGTTGAAAAGGATAGATCAAGAATCTTGAGGGATGGGAGGGCAGTTAGGCATGATATGATGCTCTTGTTGAAATTGTTATATGATAGATTTATACTCTTCAGCCTTTTCAATCTCGATAAGGTCTTACAATCTGTAAAAATAAAGGAAGGTAAATCTTAGAGAAACCATGCATGGTCTTGTAAAGTTTGTAATTATGGAAGAATTTAAGATTCATTAGCATTCAGGAACTTCATCACTATTAACAAGTTAACATACCATGGTTCGGTTACGCTCTTATAAAAGAGAATTCATTTACCTTGGATATTTGGTGTGCCATTGAGATGGGTAGAACTTAAATCCAGCTCCTCCAGGTTAGTGAGATGTGATAATTCTGTAATGCGAAAGAAAAACACATATATATCATGTAGTATGCATGTTATTTTCAGATGTACAATTTTGAAGCTAGTTAATTTGGAGCATTATATGTTCATTAATCTTTCTCATCATTATAACCAGGCAGCCTTAGTTAGAGTATAATATCGGCCCAACAAAATATGCCCACTCTCTTATTTAGGTATATCTCTCTTGTTCCTCAAAACCTTAATCAAAACCCTAAATCCCTACACCAGAAATCAAAAAGCAAATCCTGTACTAAATCAAATAATCTATAGTCATAGCACGTACCTTGAGCTGGAAATGGTCCTGACATCGGATTGTCGCTAAGATCCAAGTTTGTAAGCGAAGAGAGGGTACTTAAAGATCTTATGATGCTTTCATTAAATATGTTGGATCCAAGATTTAAAGTTTTCAACTTCCTCAAAATGGAAACCATCTCAGAACCTACATTAAGCAACCTAATTTATAAGCTCTAGTTTTATACAACAACAAAGCCGTTTAGAATATACACAATTACATATTTATATCCAATTTTAATAATGTTTAAGAAAAGAAAAGGGTCATATTTCAAACTTCAACACATGAAAGTCATTCTGCTACATATGGTCCTTTGATGTTGCAAAAGGGAGATTTGTGTATAAATCCAAGGCGACTATATTGGCATGATGTTTTTATGATGATATTGATTTACCTTGAACCTCAAAGGTACCAATGAAGCCACAATAGCTTAGATCCAACCTCTCCAAGTTCTCTAAAGCAGTAAATTCTGCAATTCATTTGAAAAGGGTGCAAGTATCTTTAAAACAAGTATTTGTGCATGAAAAGACGAAAACACGCCACTGCTAGGGAGGGAACTATCATTCAGGCTGGTGTGACTAATTACCAATATCTCCAACTCTTTTACAAATTGTATCTAGTTAGAAATTTACAAATTTACACCAACAATTTACATTTAAATAAGATTAATATACACCAAGTCCAGCATGATATTAGACTAACAACCCCAGATTAACATGTTTCGGACCTTGCAAAAAAGTCCTTTTGGGTCCCAATATTTGGAACCAGTCCAATCCTCAGTGAGATCGGTTTGGGTCTGGACTGGCTCCAACCCCTACTTTAGCACAACCTCTTAGGATTTCTACGTAGCTTACATTTTCATATTTTTCCAATTGCATATATATATATATATATATATATATATATATATATATATATATATATATATATATATATATGTGTGTGTGTGTGTGTGTTTATATTTTTCACTTAGATGCGGTTAGAAATAACTATTATATATATATATGAATCTGAATACATTTTCTGTCGTTAAGTTTAAAATGTGACTGAATTTCTAGAACTATGCATTTTCAAGACGTGCCTTCCTTTTGTGATGTCAATTTTGTAATGAATGTGATTTCCACATACCAAATCTTTTTCATGCAACTATTTTTGTGATGCCAAGTTATAAAAAGTAACTGCTTATTTGACATCATAAAGATAAAACATTATATTTTATTTTACAAATTCCATAAAGCATATACAACTGAAAAGCTATAAAGATACATATATGTAATTATTAAAAAAAAAAAAAGGTACAAGTATAAGATGCAGGAATGATTTTACTATCAAGTTGCACATTCAATATGTTTAGTCAACATTCACTTTAGTGTTTTAAATGTAAATTTAATGCATAAAAGAACTAATGAAATCAATATACTATAAATATCTACCCATGACCATGAAAAAATATTTTATATGTATCAAATATTTAAAGATAATATTTCTGTCTTCTGTAGATAATAAATGATAACTACAATTACATAGAAATTCAGACATGTATACCAAGTTTCTTGGACTTTGTGTCCCTCATTCTGCAGGAAATTTCATATCGGCACCACTAGTTTGAAACATAAACAAAAGCCCCCCTCAATGTCACCTATCGCGTCTCTCTATTAACCAAATCAATGCAACCGAAACACTTATACATCTCAATGTGTGAAGATCACACATAGACCATAGACATGACACAACATCCCACAAACACTCTATAAATATAGGTTCTCATGCATCATACCAAATTGAAAACAAGATAAAATCAATCAAGTTCATATGGTCTAAAAATGATACTCAAACAACTATGGAAATAAGTATATACAGTCATAGGAGGTACCTTGAGCTGGAAATGGTCCCGACATTGGATTTCTGCTAAGATCCAAGTTTATAAGTGATGAAAGGATACTTAGAGATGTTATAACGCTTTCATTAAACCAGTTGCCCGCAAGATTTAAACTTTTCAATTTCCTCAATATGGAAACCCTCTCAGAACCTACATTTAGGAATCCAATCGAATTTATAAGCTCTAGCCAGTTTCATACAGCCACAGAGCTCTGATAAGCCCCAACTTAGCATGGATTGCTTTTAGTTGAATTGCTTTATTATAGTTATTTTATTGTCTGTTTTGGGTCCAGGGGTAGTTTGGTCTTTTTTAGTATTATGTCTGTTATTGGCTGTTTGTTATGTTGGGAGCACTAACTTTGTCCCAGGTCTGTTTTAGGGGACCACTCCCCTGAGTCACGTCTAGTTTAAACTTTAAATATATATCCCTGCAGGTTTTTGTTTAGGTAGCTAAGAATTAATTTGTAAAATGAACTTTGTTCTTCTTCGAGAGTCCATTCCTCTCGAATGAATGGGAAAACCCTAATCTATCTTATCAATTCATAGTTTCATTATCAGATTGTATGCAAGAATGAATAAGGGTCTATCAATCTCTTTTGGAGAACATATACAAGTACATATCTATATCCATTTTAAGCATTGTAATATGCTTCCATTAAAAGAATTGTTTATTATATCAGACCAAGTGACTTGATTGTAGTGTATTGCAGTAGTAATATCTCTACCACAGATAATCAAGTCCTTATTGCGATTTTTCTGTCCCAAGTAAAGAAAGGTCATATTTTAAATTTCACACATGGATGAGTCATTCTGTTATGGTCTTGTAATGTTGCAAAAGAGGGATTTGTGTACAAGTCCAAGGTGACTTTATTGGCATGATGCTTTTATGATGATATTGCTTACCTTGAACCTCAAAGGTACCAGTGAAGCCACAATAGCTTAGATCCAACACCTCCAAGTTCTCTAAAGCAGCAAATTCTGCAATTCATGTGAGAAGGATGTAAGTATCTTTAAAACAGGCATTTATGCATGTTAACCTTAAAAAGAAGAAACGAAAAAGACACAAACCTACCATTGGTAGGGAAGTTTCCATTCAAGCTAGTGTCGCTAAGATCCAAGACTTTGAGTGAAGTGAGTGTCTTTAATGATGGAAGGATGCCGTTGTCAATATCATAATTCCAACTGAGGTCTAGTACCTCCAACTTCTTCAAACTCGACAGCCTTTCAAGCCCTGCAAAAGAAAGAATTTTTTAACACAGGCATCCTAGTCTTTTGATATTGAAAGGGCAACTTTCTAAGCACAATTGGTAAATACTAAAAAGCTGTAGCATGATTTGCAGGATCTGAAGTACACATAAAGTCTTGTGTTTGGTCTTTTATATATAGAAAAACATTATCCAACCATTAGGGTTCCTAAGAAGCGTCTTTGAGTGCATAAATTAGTTGGATGTTATGTTCACGAATTTGAATAGAGTTGACTTACTGGAATGTTTTGCTCAAAAAAAATATGATGTTGGAACAAGGTGAAAGAAATACTAATTAAAGCAATTAATCATGTTGTACCTGACTTCATGAACTCTTTATCAAGAGAATTATGTGACAAATTGAGACTTGTCAACTCTTTAAAATGAAGAAACAAGGAAACATTCAATGGCCACAACTTGCTCTCATTATCCATGTAAACATCTTCCACCCCTATTAAATTGTACAAAGAGAGTTCTGTCACATGACCCGTTGTTGTGCTGCAGTTGATCCTCTCCCAATCACAGCAGTTGCTGCCACCATCCCCAGGGGTACCACCGCCATAATCAACCCAGGTAGGGAGAAAATTGTCAATTTCAGAACCATATGACTTCATATAGGAGGTTTTGATTTCCAGTAGTGCCTTTCTCTCCTCTTCTACACAATCCCCTTGTGTATGCTCAGCCATTATTAGAATATGTATCATCATTAACATCAACAGCCAACATAGAAATGATTTATGCTTACTACAAGCCCAACACTCCATTTTAGCAGCTAATGGTGGCTTTGTAGAGACACTCACAACATTAAACTTCCTGTTAGGTTTGGTTTGCTTAGCTTTGCTTGGAAAACATTTGATATATGATGAAATGAATATGTATGAACGCTCAAAATTTCCACACATAAGTCATCAAGTCAATGCTCAAAATTTCCATACATAACTCTATTCCATCTATTCCATTGTCACTTTGTCAGTGACTCCTTCAACTTCACCCTTTCCCTTTTGGAGTATGATACACTCCCAAACATTTATGACACGACATTTGTTGACTCTTCAATTAATGAACTTCCAAGTCTCCAATTGCCCTATTAAATTTTTGGAATTACTTACAAAATCAAAAATATTTACTAACTACACACTAATATCAATTCCATCATTTCCGTTTAATTTTACTGAAGTAAATAAACAAACCTAAGAACAATTTGACAAAGAGAATGACTGCTGTAATTGATAGATATTTTTATTTACACGTTTAATTCAAAACAGAGATCAATACAATTTTTTTTATACATTTTGCTCTTGCTTTATGTACTTCTCATACTCCATTCTGCATTTCATGTTTATTTTTCTCAAAAAAGCCACTTAAAACTTGAGTTCTTATATTGGTACCCAACAATATTTATAAGGCCGCTACATCCTACTTTTGAGTAAAAACTGAATAACTAAGTATCATTCATTTAAAGGTAAATTATATTTTGATCCTCAAGTTTAACTTCTTTTTTAGGTTTTGATTCAAAAAAGTTGTCTTACAGATATTTTATTATTTATGTATTGTAATTTAAACCATATTAAATTCAGTTGACCCCACCTCCCCCATCCACGTCCCCTCGTTTTTGAAACACTTATGCAGATTCATGATGGTGAAATCAGATGTGAAACTGAAGAGTGAGGGTTGATCTCAATTAAATGAGCCTTTTATTGTGTTTGGCAAAAAAAAACTTATGTATTACTTATTAGCTTATAGCTTATTGGCTTATAAGCTAATAAGTTAGAGGGAGTTAACTTTTGTATACTCGTAATGACCAGACTCGCTAACCTCCTTGTGATTTCCAGGGACGGGTTCTATAAATTCCTGGTAAACAGCCAGATGAGAGCCATTGCTAGAGATCACCGTACCCGGAAATGAAACCGGCTTCGATTTTGAAATTGTAACAACCCTAACCCGATGAGTAGGCCCTTTCGCCTCCCTTCCTTTCCTCCTCGTCTTCTCTAACCAAATGATCATTTTCACCACCATTCGCCGACGACGGCGATGAAACAGCGTCTAAGCCCTCAATTTAGAGGGGTTTGTATCAGTGGTTAGAGGTTGCAGACAGGGGCGAGAATGGGTGGGAGTCATAGTAGGTTCGATAAGCAGTACACCGTCGACGCTGGACGGAAAGGGGGCGGAGGATTAACGGAAAGGTGGAAAGGGTTTTAACGGGAAAGGGAAATGGGAGAATTAGGTTTGGTGGGGTTGAAGGGCCGGGGGTAAAAAACAGGGGAATTAGATATTTTTTATCCCTTAACTTTTGGTTTTGTGCTTATTTAGTTACTTAACTCTTTTTAAGTTTTAAAATGTCATCAAACTTTTGCTTTTGTGCTCATTTAATCACTTAACTTTTAGTTTAGTCACATTTAGGTAGTGTTGTTTTTTGTCTGCAGATCTGCGAGATGTCTTCTGTCTGCGCCGCGCAGACCACGCGCAGACATTAGTCTTCGCAGACTGTTTATTTTTTTGAAGACTGCAGACCTAAAAATGTCTGCGCGCCCTTTTCTTAGTGCAGATGTGGACCAGAGTCTTCTAACATCTTCAGACATATTCTAGCTTAAAAAAACATATATATCTTTATTTTTTTTAAGTTTTTTTTTTAATTTATATTTTTTCCAACTTTATTAATGATAAACAATATGAAAAATAAATTACAAAACTTAAAAAAAAAAACATTTGACGATACAAACATGATATTTTTAACAAATTTATATATATATAAATTTATTATAATAATAGTCGTTGAAGTTGTTTATATAAATATCAAAAAAAAAATCATAATATATTCTTATATTTTTTTGCCAAAATTTTGTAAAACTTTATTTAATAGAGTATCATCAATTTCTCGAGAAAATATTTATCGTACGTTTTTAATAGATTTATTTGAAAAAATCGAAGTTTATTTCCATCTATTTATGTATCAAATTCTTTGATCACTAATTATAATGTTTAGTTATAACTTTGCAATCAAAGTTGTTGGTTTTTATCAAATATGTATATGAATTAATACCATTTTTATTTTTATTTTTTATATAATAATACATAAAAGTTGATCTAGATTCGTTATATATTTATAATAAAGTCGTAAAGATATATAAAAAATTCGCTTTGAAGTTTTAAAAAATCAGTTTATTTAGATTTCAGTTTATTTTAATAGCCCGCAGATGTTAAAAAAACAAACAATCTTCTTTTTTCAGACTGCAGACGTTTAATCCACCTCTTCTACTGCAGAGGTCTACAGATGTGGTCCGCAGACTGCAGACATTTTGCTTTAGAAAAAACAAACAGCACCTTAGTCACATAACTTTTAAAATTGTGTTCATTTAGTCACTAAACTTTTAAATTTCTTTACAAGTTTGGTGACTAAATGAACAAAAATTTAAAAGTTAGGTGACCAAATGAGCACAAATCTAAAAGTTAAGTAACTAAATATGAATAAACCAAAAGTTAAGTGATTAAATGAGCACAAAGCCAAAAATTTGATGACCTTTTGAAACTTAAAAATAGTTAAGTGACCAAATAAGCACAAAACCAAAAGTTAAATGATCAAAAATGACCTAAACCCTTCATTAAAACCCATAAAAAAATTGAAGCTTTTAAATTAGACAAAATTACATAAATGGTCCTCATGGTTGACAAAATCGACCAATTATCATCCTTATGACGAATTCTTTACACAGATGGTCACTGTGGTTTCAAAATCTTTCAAAGACGGTCCTTTTAACTAACGAAGTTAACTTTTTCAGTTAAGTCCTATGTGAAATGACATATTTGCCCTTCATGCATAAGGACGCTTTATGTAATATGTTTCTACCACAGGGACCATTTATGCCATTTCACATAGGACTTAACTGAAAAAGTTAACGCCGTTAATCAAAAGGACCGTCTTCGCAAGATTTTGAAACCACAGGGACCATCTGTGTAAAGAATTTGTCATAAGGACTATAATTGGTCGATTTTGTCAACCATGAGGACCATTTATGTAATTTTGTCTTTAAATTATATTAAATTCAATAAAAATTACTTACTTTTGGTCGATGAAATCAAAAAATTATAGGTTTTTTAAATTCTACTAAATTTTGTGTCCAGGTGAATTTCTTTGGCCAAAAACAAAAAACAAATATTTTAGATTTTGTTTTTTATGTTTTATTATAAAGACAATGAAGTGTTTGAGACTTTTTATTTAAATTGATAAATATTTTTTAACTTATTAATTTATTAATTTATAACGGTACGAAAATAACTTATGTGGTGTCGCTATAAGTTGATTAACACTTTCTAGCGTTTGGTAAAATGACCAAAAAAATGTTTCATAAAGGTATGAGACGACTATACATTATAAGGAGTTTTGATAAGTTAAATGGAGTAACTTATCAAAAATAGTTTATCCCTGGTTTCATACCACTATAAGGAGTTTTGATAAGTTAAATGGAGTAACTTATCAAAAATAGTTTATCCCCGGTTTCATACCACTATAAGTTGTTTCTAAAAAACTCTTTATCAAATTATTCATTTTAACTTATACCGATATGAAATCTATAATAAATTAAAAAAATCATTTTTAAGCTTAGCCAAACACCCTCGATATATCTTCTCCTAGCACCTATTCATCCTAACCATTATTCATTAAATCAAAATATATTATCATCATCTCTCCCACACCCCGCCCGTCCATGTGTCCACAACACACTAGGGATGAAACTGAGTTCAAACCCAGACCAAATGGACCTAGACCTGGAAAACCCAGAATCGATTAATGGAATTTTGTAAAACCGGAAATTAGACTGGTATATAGGAACCAGTTCCGGGTACGGTACGGGGTAAAATGTGTTTAGAACCGGAAAACCCAAAAACATCAAAATGGGTAGGTTGGAACCGAATAAAGTGAGTTTAAAACCAAAAACCTAAAAAAAAAACCGAATTTTTTTTGGCGGTTACTTACTACTTAATGGGTTGAACTCTGAAATTTTTCATATTGATATCTCAAATTCGAGGGACTGTAAGTCATTGAATATGAAACTAAAATTAACAAAATTATAGTCTAAAATCATGTACAAACTCTAAACTACACTCCTGAAAAACCCGCATGTCAATCCGACTTGAAACGAATGAGATATGTATGTGTTAATGTTTTCACATAATACAAAGTACTAAAACAAATAGCTGAAAAGTTGAAAATTTTCAGCTTTGATATCCCGACTTCGGAGGATTGTAAGTCATGGAATATTAAACAAAAAATAACAAAATTATATTCTAAAATCATGTACAAACTCTAAACTAAAAGTTGGAAAAAACTTCATGTTAATCCGGCTTCGAACAAATTAGATATGTATGTTTTAAAACTTTCACAGAACACAAAAAGCTGAAAAACAAAAAACTTATAGCTTTGATATCTCGACTTTAGGTGACTATAAATCAATGAATATAAAACTAAAAATGACAAATTTATAGTCTAAAATCATGTATAAACTCTAAAATACACATTGGAAAAAATATGTATGTCAATTCGACTTAAAACGAAGGAGATATGCGTGTTTTAAACGTTTCACAGAAACCAGATCCGACCTCTAAAAGTGGTTCCGGTTCCGGTTCTAGGACCCGACGGACCCAAACTCGGGATACCCGAAACCCGGATAAAGCTAATTTTTAAGCCCGTAACCGAAACCGATTCTAAATATTTCGGTTCTAAGGATTCTGGTTCCGGTCCGATTATGGTTCCGGTTTTAAATCTCATCCCTACAACACGCCCCACTGTAACACCCACACATGTACACACACCCTCTCGCCCAACCCCAAATGTTATTTAGAAGGGTGTGTCTTCAAGTTACAAACAGGGGAAATTGAGTAATCTAATTATTTGAAAAAAAAAACAATTTTTAGCAAAAATAACCATTTTGTCCGAAATAGACATTCCAGAATAAGAAAAAACACGTTTTTTGACTAATTTTGGACTACCGTTCACATTTCGGACTAAAAATTCGAATTTTAGGGGAAAACTATTATAATTTCAAGAACAAGTCTGAAAATCCGAAGAACAATTTCGGAATTTCGAGAAAAAACCGTTTTTTACTTAAATTTAACAAAATGTTAAACAAATACAGTAAATATGAATTACATACGATATTAATGCATAAAATCATACATTTTATTGAAAAGGGATAATGACTTGAAAGGGTAACAAACTTTCGATTTTGTTCACATTTAGTCACTAATTTTTTTTTCATTCTCTATTTGCCACTGAACTATTGAAATTGTTCACATTTTACCCTTATGACCGGTAACAGCCGGTCATAAGGGTAAAATGTAAGCAGTTTCAATAGTTTAGTGGCAAATAAATAATGAAAAAAAAAAATTAGTGACTAAATGTGAACAAAGTTGAAAGTTCGTTTCCCTCTCAAAAAAGTTCAGTAACTAAATGTGAACAAACTTTCTTATTGTATGATGGTTTAGCAAATTATGTATTTTTGTTAAATTTTAACAACATTTGTTGATGAAGAAATCTTTTAAAAAGAAAAACAAACAAACAAAAACCCAAAAAAGGTATAAAAAATGAAACCAACATTATATGTATAAGTTTTATGTTATAAAACTATGCAATATTATATGTATAAAAATTGTCCAAATATGTATGAATTTTGTGTTATAAAATTATGCAATATATAAATTAACATACATTAAACCATATATATTGTTTATAAAAAATACATATGTACATTGATACATTATATATATTGTTATACTATATGTATTGACATACATCATATTAGTATATTTACTATTAAAAGGATATCGAAAATGAAAGTCAAGATGTTTAGAATTTAGACATTTTTAATTTACCCGGACAACTGATTTATATTTGAGATTGTATTTTTTTTTTAAAGTTTGAATAATTATTGAATTTATAATTATTTAACTAGACATATAGAATTAAGAAAAACCGTTAACATGTTTTATGAAGTGTTGTGCCCAAACCACCTCATCCATATTAACTCTACAAAAATATATATATTTAGAAAAAATAGCTATATATTCAACAATTATAATGGTGCTATTTTTTTTTTCTTTCAAAAAAGTCACTCATAATTTTAAAAGGTTTTAGAAAAAAAAAACAATTCATATTTAAATAACTATTTAAAAAAAAAAAGATTTTTAACTTTTTTCTTCAGAGTATAACGTAATTTTTTACCATGAAACACAATTTCTTAATAGCTATGGGAGTGAATGACTTATTTTTTTGTTAAAACAAAATAAGACTGGAAATTTTGATTTTTGATTTTGGAAAATACCAAACCAATTGTTTTTTATTTTGATTTTGGTTTTTCATTTTTTTTAATATTTTATTTGGGTTTTTTTTTTTTAATATTTATTTCATAGATTTATTCATCAACAAATGTTGCTAGAATTTAACAAAAATAAATAATTTAGTAAAACATAATACAAGAGGAAGTTTGTTCACATTTAGTCATTGAATTTTCTTTAAAGGGAAACGAACTTTTGACTTTGTTCATATTTAGTCACTAAAATTTTTTACATTCTTTATTTATCACTGAACTATTGAAACTGTTCACATTTTACTCTTATGAACAAAGTCATTATCCTTATTGAAAAACAATGATATTAAACCCTTAGAAATAGACATTTCAGACATAATTGATGATATTCAAAAAAAAAATGGGAAAAAACCAAAAAACAATTCCGAAATTTGAAGATCAAACTCGGGATGGAGCATTTCGGAATAGATCATTCTTTGAAAAAATTGAAAAGTAGTTTGGAATGTGAACAATATTTGTAAACCAGGCGTATTTTAGGTGCAATAAAAAAACCTAAAAAAATGGTTAGATTACTCAATTTCCCTATTTTAGGTTCACTAAAGCTCTTATGGCTTTTGTAAAATGTTGATGCCGTGAAAGTATCCGTTGAGAAAGGACATGCACTTTTTGGTACCATAGACTCCTAATTAATATGGAATTTTACTAGAGGTGTTGATAACGGTGCATATATTGCTCATATCTCTAAGGAATCAGGAACCATGTGTATTAACTATAAAAGACTTAATTTGGTTAGATCAACGTTGGAAAGCTTTATGATTCATAAAGCCATTCTACAAAAAAAAAAATTGTAAGAAATTCCAAGGTTATTGGTCAACTAGGAAAAGGATGGATGATTACTGGAATCCCGATTTCAAGATGGTTAGGTGATCAACATGCATCAATGTTAGGTTAACCTTTATAGGAAAGGAGTGACAAAAGGCACTTAAGGAGCAGCTGTATATATACTTTTTAACATAGGTTGGGATGTGATTGATTTGAAACATGGTTTGTTGACTAGTTCAACTTCAAAGTTTGGGAAGATGTGCCTACAAACTGTGCTCTAGAGGGCCCAAATGCTATTGCTGGAGCAGTTGTTCAACTACTCAACCGTTGGTGTTTACTTGTGAGGAATGACATGACAAATAAATAATTTTCCTTTCTTTTTCTACCATAAATCAATGTAAGTTTATTAAAGCGGAGAAATAGGTGTAAGTTCTAGTAGATTGTTCAATTTTGCAACCTACCATAAATCAAATTATTTTGCGTCATAAAAAAGATGTAGAAACACTTAAATTACTAGAATCTTCTAATGCATCATCTGACGTATATAATTATACTAATTGTAAGACTCATGTATTACATTGGTTAATTTAAAGAAGAAAAAGTTAAATATAAAAGTCAAAATATTTGAAAACTTTGAATTTATAATAAAATAAAAAAAATAATGATTTATCATAATTGAAATATTTTTATATTTTAAATTTAAACAAATAATTTATATAAACAAACAAAAGAAACTAATAACCTTTAATTTGAAAATTTTGAAATTAAAAGGTAAGTCCTTAATGAATTGATATCCATTTATTGCAATTATTACATTAAAATATTATATAAAAATTAATAAAATAGAAAAACTCATAAAATGACATGTGAAAAAAAAAAATTCAAAATAACTATAAAGTGACATTTGACAAATTGAATGAGAGCGTGACATGTGGAAAAAAAACCTTTATTTATTAGAGTAGATACAAAAACATAGAAATATGAATACATATGGAAACAAGTTTGCATTTATTCTATCACAAATTCTTAAAGAGGTCCTACCTACAGAAGATCATAGAAGGCTTCCATACTAAATCATAAAGGAAGTAATAACATGTATATATACAATCTTCAACCCAGTCTAGCCACCTTCTACGCCACCGAGGATTGGTATAAAGTATTGCAACAAATCCCAATAAGAACACAAAACATGTCGAACTAGAACTTCCATAGAAATATGTCATATCAATATCATACCATTTCTCATGGTCTTCTTCGGCTGATGGATTGGTCACGTGTGGATTTGTGTTGCATTTCTTCTCCAATGGTGGTCCACAAAGAAGTGGATTACCTTCATAACTCTCCTCCGTGAAGGTACCAAACTGTGACTTCATTTCTGGGAGTCTGCCTGAGAGACTGTTGTGAGAAACATTGAAAATAGACAAGGAGGTAAGCTTAATGAGTTCTGATGGAATTGTGCCGGTCAAACCATTTGAAGAAAGGTCCAAGCTCTCTATCTTTGCAAGATTTGAGAAGCTCACTGGAATGAGTCCAATTAGTTGATTGTGAGACAGGTTTAAAGCACGAAGTTGGGTTAAAAACCCGACTTCTTCTGGAATTTCACCTGTAAGTTTGTTACTAGATAAATCCAATCCCGTCATGTAATCAAGGATGCCACCCTTGTAGCGGAGAAAGAGACTTTTCGTTGTATACTGTACTTCGTCTTGTATTCCCAAGGCTTCACCGCCAAGGAAGATTGAACGCAACCCCCATATAATACTCTCATAATGGTAAGAGGAATCATACGAATACAATGATTTGCTTCTTTTTAAGAAAACAAGGTCACTTGGGCCGGTAATATTATGTAGGCAGCTAGGTATTGAGCCAGAAAATGAGTTAGCGGATAAGTCTATGAAACTCATATTACTTAATTGACACAACTGCCTCGGAATCAAACCGCTAAAGTTATTTTTTCTCAAAAGAAGAATCCTTAAATTGGATAGTTCGCCAAGAAATTTAGGAATCCTGCCTGACAAGTTGTTGTTGCCGATGTCTAAAGTCAAAACATTAGTCAAATTACGAAAGAAATTGGGTATTGATCCAGTGAATCTGTTGGAACCCAAATGAAGATGCTCCATATATTGCAAATTTGAGCAGGATGGGATGGGCCCAGAAAAAGAATTTTGTGAGATATCAAGAAATGAGAAAAAAGCTGCTCCGCAAGGAAACCTGCCTTCCAAACTATTATTTCTCACCACAAGTTCAGACAAGCTACTCATGTTGGTAAGCCAATCCGGGATCAAACCTGTAAAAAAGTTATTGCTTATATCCAGAAGAGTCAGAGATTCAAATTTTTGTTTGCTTTTAATTCCAATTTGCCCTGTGAAATGGTTGCTATCTAAATAAACCCATTGGAGAGTACTCCAACTTAAATTTCCTGAGAGTATCTGGCCATGCAACTTGTTGTTTGATAGTTTTAAGAAACCCAATTTGGAGGTGTTTGTAAACAATCCCTTTGGCACTTCACCAGATAACGCATTCTCAGATAAATCTAGTACCCATAATTTACTCAATTCACCAACTGAGGAAGGGATAACACCACTTAAAGCATTCATAGACAAATTCAAGATACTTATGTTGGGAAAAAACTTTGGTATGTCATATGGAATAGTACCTATCATGTGATTTTGAGACACATCCAACCACTTCATATTAGCATTCATATGCAGTGGCATACCACCAAACAAGTTATCACGTAGAATAAGAACTTCCAGATTCGAATTGTTCCTAATTAACCAATTTGGTAATTGTCCCTCCAAGGAGTTGTGAGACATGTCTACTTGTCGTAAATTGTGTTGGTGAAGTAGAAACCCAGGAATAATACGTCCTTTAGGCATTTTCATATTACAATTAGATAGCTCAAGAATTTTCAACTGGAACATCGGAATCCAATCTATAGGCTCCTCTGTTTCCACCTCAAATATGTCATTGTCACTTCTGAATCGAACTACCTCAAGCTTTTTATGATTGGAGAATGAGCTGAAAGAGAATGAACCTTCAAAATTGTTATGACTAAAATCAATGTACTCAAGAGATGTGAGATTAGCAATGAATGATGGCACACGTTTCCCTGTGAATCGATTTGAAGATATATCAAGTAACCTAAGAGATGATAGACTGTTGAAACATTGAGGCAGAATTCCATCTAGCATGTTGTGACTAAGATCTAATTCATGGAGGTTGTTCAACTCACAGAAACCTGCCAAAAGATAAAAAATGTGGTTCACCTTATAAGAAATAAAATGACTTCATTTGCATGGTTACTCGGAAAGGTAATGTTACAATCTTAGTACAAGGACATTACATTTATATATTTCTTTTAACAATCCCAACACTTACTTGTGCATACTTTAGATAACTTACCATGCTCAGGTAATGAGCCGTTGAGTTCATTGTTAGCGAATGAGAGAGCTCTTAATGAAGATAATGCCTGTATTGATGAAGGGATGCTCCCAACAAAACTGTTGTGACTCAAATCTAAGACCTCCAAACGGTGGAAAGATGCAAAACCTGGATGCCAACAAGAGAGGGTTACATACATAGGTTACTAAACAAAAGCCCTAAGAAAGTATTTGTTACAATTTATGTATTATCGATGGTTGAAGCTTGATAAGTTGTGGGGACTTTCATCTATGTGATGATCAGTTGGTAAGTACTTGGCGATTTTTCTTAAACCAATAATAATGTTGTAAATTAAGGAATGAAGAAAAAATGCTACCTTCCATTGGTAGTGTACCGCTGAAACCATTAAATCTCAAGAGGAGAACTTCCAAATCAAACAAATCATGAAATTCTGTATTAAATAGAGAGATGTGTAGAAAAAATATTTAAAAAATAGTAAAAAATGGAAACAAATAAAAATAATGAAGTTGGAATTTAATGTTTTAGTTTGTTTAATGAAAACTCGTTTTTGAAATGAACATGCCTTGGACAGGAAAGGAACTTCCCAGTGAAGGAGAATTTGAAAGATGAAGAATCTTGAGGGACGGGAGGGCAGTTAGGCATGATATGATGCTCTTGTTGAATTTGTTGCCTGAAAGGTCTATACTCTCCAGCCTCTTCAATCTCGATAAGCTCTTACAAGCTGTAAAAGGAAGGTAATTTTTAAAGACACCATCTGCAAAGTTTGTAACTACTTTGTCTTTATCACTATTCACAAGTTACCATGGCTAGGTGAAGCTAAATCTTCATTTACCTTGGCTATTTGGTGTCTCATTGAGCTCAGTATTCTTTAGTTCCAGCTCCTCGAGGTTAGTCAGATGTGATAATTCTGGCATATGAAAGAAAAACATATCACGTATTATGCATGATATTTTCAGATGTACATTTTGAAGCTACTTTTGGAACATATTTTTACTAGTCTTTATCTATCATTATACCGAGGTAGCCTTATTTAAAGTCTAATATTGGTCCAACACAAAATGGAAATTTGTTACACTTCTTGGTAATGTTGAGGATATATTAGTTCTTTCAGTTGTGGCCATTCTATGGCGTAAGTGGAGATAGTGAGGTGGTAGGGCAATAAGGTCTTTTAGCCAGTTAGGTTAGGTCGGTGCTGTTAGCCTTTAAATAGGAGATGTCCGGGTTGGTTAGCATCTTTGAACAAAATCACTAGAGTAAGGTCTCCCGAATACCCGTTAGTTGTAGTAATCATTCGATTTCCAGTTCAATCTTTCATTTCTAAATACAAGTATACACGTATACAATCGAATGGCATCAGAGAGTGTTCAATCCACCATCTTGAATCAATTTCGGAACAGAACATCAAGAATCGATGAGATGGATGATAGATAATAACTTGTTTTATTATAATGAGGATTTAACCTCATATAAATAGGAATCCAAATTGGGATTTTGGCCTAACATAAACCTTAATGGGTATTAGCCTAACCCGAATCGCTAACATCCACCACGGTTTGAATGGGAGTATACGATTAAACTGGAGAAATAAACAAAGAACAAAACCTAAAAAACATAGATGAAGATAGCGGCATCAGAGGCTCTTATGAAGACGGCTAACAATGACCGTTAGTTGAGAAGAAACGACGAACAAAGGTGGTTCCGTTGTAGAAGAAGAGGGGAGCGGCGACGAAGATGATCATGGAGTCGGTGGCAGAGGAGTCCAAGAAAGGAAAGGAGAAAGAAAGAGGGACTGACCTGTAGCGGACGGAGCCAATTCCGGAGAGAGAGAGAGAGAGAGAGAGAGAGAGAGAGAGAGAGAGAGAGAGAGAGAGAGAGAGAGAGAGAGAGAGAGAGAGAGAGCAGTGGCATCGGAAGAGGTTGACTCGACAAAGGAATTTGGAGAAGAAAAGGTCGGCCGAGGAGGAAGTATAAGCAGACGAAGTAGTAGAAGGAACCGATAATGAGCTCTGGTGTCGGCGGCTATATTATCATTTAAGAGGAGAAAGAAGAAAGGGAACATTATTGAGCACAATGAAGCCACCTTTGACAAATATTAGAGAAGGTTGTCAAAGATAGAGGGTGGCCGTTGTGGGTTGTGGTCAAAAGTAGGATTTTGCTTTGATACCATGATAGATAATAACGTGTTATTATAATGAGAATTTAACATCATATAAATAGAAATACAAAATGGCTTTTCTACTAACCTAAACCTTAATGGGTATTAACCTAACCTTAATCATTAACAATGGAGGAAATCATTAGTTCAAAATGACATGGGAACTGTTCGATCAGATATTGGAGCGTTATAAAAAGATTTTCAAAAAGTTATGAATCAATTGGATGTTATGATCAGCAGATTAAACAAATCTCTATGAAATTAAATAGTCCATCAAAAAGAGAAGAATAAAGAAGATGAATCAAAAGATAAATCAGTGTTCAAAGATGACATGGTTGAGCGAGGTTATAATCGTTTCTATGTGATCAAGAGCAACGAGGATGAAAAAGATGGGAAAGGTTTTGATTTAGAGAATGGGGCAGCAAATCTGGTGTCAAGAGAGGCATGGATAGTAATTAAGTTTTGGAAGCATTTTATTTTATTTTATTAATATATTATCTTGCTGTTTCTTTTTCTTAAAATCGTTGGTCTTTATGTGGCCAATATTCTATTGCCAATTTTATATGTTTACTAGACTATAAGTATTTCTTGAAGCCTACGTTTGAAAGGGGAGATTTTTTTTGATAAAAGTAATATTTGTTTGAGCAGAGTTGCTGTGTATCAAAATTGCATCCTTGAATCGTCTTTTCTTTCCTGTTTGGAATGTGTTGTTAATTGTAGTTGCATCAAAATCAATTAGGAAAAAGAAAAACGAGAAAGATGCATTTATAACCTTAAAAAGAAGAAACGAAAAAGACACAAACCTACCATTGGTAGGGAAGTTTCCATTCAAGCTAGTGTCGCTAAGATCCAAGACTTTGAGTGAAGCGAGTGTCTTTAATGATGGAAGGATGTCGTTATCGATATCACGATTCCCACTAAGGTCTAGTACCTCCAACTTCTTCAAACTCGACAACCTTTCAAGTTCTGCAAAAAAGAAAAGCTTTTAACAAGTTGTGGCATAAATTGCAGGATCTCAAGTAGACATAAAGTCTTGTGTTTGTTCATTTATATATGGAAAAAAACTATCCAACTACTAAGTTATCTAAAAAGCATCTTTTACTGCATAAATCAGTTGGATGTTATGTCCATGAATTTGAAAAAATCAATCTACTTAAATTCCTTGCTCAAAAATATTATGTTGGAACTAGGTGAAAGAAATACTAAAGCAATTAATCATGCTGCACCTGTCTTCATAATCTCTTCATCAAGATAATCATATGACAAATTTAGACTTCTCAACTCTTTAAAATGAAGAAACAAGGAAACATTCAATGGCCACAGCTTGCTCCCAAACTCCATGTTATCACCTATCATCCCTCTCAAATAGTAAAAAGAGAGGTCTGTCACATGCCCAGTGGTTGCGTTGCAATTTACCCTCTCCCACTCACAACAGTCACCGCCACCATCCCCTAGGATACCACTGCCATAATCAACCCAGGTGGGGAGAAAATTGTCCATTTTGGAATTGTATAACTTGATAAAGGAATCTTTGATTTCCAGTAGTGCCTTTCTCTCCTCTTCTATACAATCCCCTTGTATTCTCCAGACCACCATATGCGTATGTATCATCAACAACCAATATAACCATGGTTTGCGCTTACTCAAACACCAACACTCCATTTTAGTAAGCTAATGAAGGCTTTTTTGAAACACTCGCAATATTAAATTTAAACTTCCGGTTTGATTTACTTTGCTTGGTATATGAACATATATGAAATGATCAGGCGAGTAAAACATGTGATATATTGAAACAAATATTTAATTGCATAATTCTCTCGTCAGGTCAATGGTTAAGTTTCAAACGTAAGTGATCAAGTGAATGGTCAAAGCTTCCACACATTTCTATATTCAATCTACCCACTCCTTCCAGCATATCCCTTTGAAATTATGATAATTGCTACACTCACAAAAGCTTATGACAAGACATTTGTTGACTTTTGTACAAACTTCCAGGTTTTCATTTGCATAGAATATATTTTCCCTATTGACTTTTTTTTTTCAGTTAATTGCACAATCATAACAATTGCCTAATTTTCATTCAAATTTACTTTTTTTTTAACTGTAACAATTTCATGGAGACAGACTACTCTCGCAAGAAGCAGAGCAAACACGGAATTCCTAGTAGATATACACTTGAACGAACTGGAAAGCATACTATTGAAGTGGTCCCCAGCTTTGGGTTCAGAAATGCTAAATACACACTTATTCCTAAGAGTCCAAATGGCCCAACAATTTCACAAAGATAATGACCTGTGTAACTAATATAATTTTCTATCTACGCACAGAATTCAAAAAAGTAACCCGTACCAAAAAGATTATACATTTCGCTTTTGCGTTAATTTTCATACTTCATTTCAAGTTTATTTTCTAAAAAATGTCACCTACAGTTTGATCTCTTACATTGGTACCCCAACAATATTTACAAGTTAAAGGCCAATTCATAGGTAAACTGATTTAAACCATAAATCTAATAGGTACTGATATTTTAATTTTTGAAGAATATACAAAAGCAAGTGGTTTAGACTATTTACTTTTAATGGGTGATAATATTTTACTTAAACTACCCTTCATCTAAACAGAATCACCTAAATATACTTCTTAGCATTATCCCCTGTACCACCTGTGTTTGATGCAGAAACTATTACCTGTCTAATAGGTAATGATTACCAAATACATGTCTGTGTAAAAACTGCTCATCAGCCCTTGTTCTTCATCTAACAACACTTTTAATTTCTTTTGAGGACTTTAATCAAACTGTTGGTGTGCAACATGAAACTCCAACCATTTTACATACCGAAACAAATCCAAAACATAGGCAACTCAAATGAGCAAAAAACAAGTTGGACTTGCCTTTAATCACCAGAGTTGAATTTTGATGAAGCCATAGAACCAGTTATGCTTTGATTAAGTGTGGAATGTGGAGGATATCCACATGCCAAATTAGTTTTTCTCTCGCATCTTGCTTCCATTCCATTCGTTTCACAACACATGGAAACCCATCTTTCCCAACCTATTCAATTTTCTTTTTAAAAATAAATACAAAGTAATAAACAAAAATATTGAAAACATACGAAACTAATTCACAAGCTAATTAAAAAAATACAAAACTATTTTGGTACACGTATTTTTTTAAATAAATACAAACTAATGAAAGTCATATTTTCTCCTCATGTCTTCTTACCCAATACACAACGCCCCCTTAATGAAAGATTAAGAATCAGCAGTCAAAAGTGCTGATCAATCAAAAAGAAGGAAAAAGCAGTTCAAACGCAGCCAAAATGGTGGGAGGACTTGAAATTTGGTGTTGGTTTCATCTTTTACACCTTAAACACCAACCAACATACGATTTCAGGTTGACAGAACTTTGATGCAACAGAAAACAGAAAAGAGTCCTGAAATTGAAATATTCTTCGTTATTCAAAGACCATCAGGGTTTTAGTTTTAATGATTTATCTGAAAAAAAGTCCCAGTAATCGTGAACCATTTCTATTTCAGATTAACAGAATTTTATGCTTGCCAAAACACTTTCCAAAATATTCTTCCTAATGTTTCTTTTCCACGGATTAGGAAACTCACACCTACAACCGTATCTTTTCTCCCCAGGGCTAGATGAAGTGTCTGATACAGCTGTGTGTCTTGTCCCCTAAATTGATGTGCTATTATTTATACACGGCTTGAGGTTTTCCAGATATCTGGTCGTGTATATAATGATCATCAGCCACTATTCTTGATCAAAACACACAATTGAGTTCTTTGAGGACTTTAATCAAACACTTGGTCTGCCACAATGATCACTTCACCTCTATACAGAAGCAGTTCGTAGTAAAATGTAGGCAATTTAAAGGAGATTTTTTTTTTTTTTTTTTGACTTGTCTGTAATCGCCCAATTGAATTTCGAAGAAGCCATAGAAATCGCACACTGTACTTGAGTTTCTGCAGCCTTCTTGGAGGGAGAGAGAGAGAGAGAGAGGGGGAGAGAGAGAGAGAGAGAGAGAGAGAGAGAGAGAGAGAGAGTTGCACAAGTTGACTTCACCCGTGCTGTGAAAGCAGCTGTTGAGAAAGGCGATGTATACATCTTGGAACCATTACCTCCTGCAGGTTCTCGAATTTAAGTGGTTGTATGATAAGGGTTTACATGTCACCAATATATATCTCTAATGCATCAAAAACCATGTTTATGAATTTGAAAAAACTTAATTAATTGGGATGAATCAAACATTAGAAACATTAATTAAAGATTCTACAAAATCCATTCTACTAGAAATTGTAAGCAGTTTCAAGGTTAGTGGTCACGTAAGAAATTAAAGGATGGCTAATTCCTGGAATCCCAATTTCCCAACGTTTAGGGGCTGAACATGCAGCAATGTTGGGTCAATCTTGTTCAAAATGAGAGGCGAAAAACACTTACAAACAAGTGCTTATATACTTCTCAAACAGGTGAAGAAATAATTCAGTTAAAACAAACACTTTAGCTTTTAAGCTCGGGAAAGATTCCCTGCAAAGTGCAATGGCACAGGGAGAGTCTTGGAATCATTCGTTCCTCCAGTTAAATCGATGAGTTGGTTGCACAAGTTAACTCCACCTACGCTGTTTACTTGTTCCTGATCCTGTGTTCTTGGTTATCTAATTTGTCATTAGTTTTTGTAGAGCTTAATTATGTGCTTAAGTGAAGTTGCAGGCAGACTTATTGGGTAACCCGGTGGTGAGACCGGCAGACAACAACACTAGGTACAGTACAAACCAGCTGCTTATGAATTCCGTTTGACTTGAATGATCTGTCACTTTAAATTATGAATTCCGTTTCTAAAATTCACTTTCTTGATTCTTTGTAACCTTGCTTATGATGTTCTTAGTTCAAGAAACATACAAAGAATTGAAAGCAGAATGCTTAATTTTATAGGTGTTTGGATTGTAATTGTTATAGTAATGAATATGTATCTTAAATATTTTTCGACTCATGGAAATAAAACCAAGTTAAAGCTATTAGCATATTGTAGAACTAAGGATGGGTAGTAACCTCTTAATCATTCAGACACTTAATCGACATTTCGTTATTACAGATCTTCCAAAATCATCGACATCAACAGAAAAAATTCTGCCCTCCGCTATCAATAATACAAGACTTCGTTAGCAAGCTTGTTCCATCGACTTTAAGAAAACCTCGCTTTGCGTCAACATCAACTTAACATCAGCAAATCGTTTCCTCAAAATCAATCCATCAATTCCAAATACATCGAAATCAAAATCATCCACATCTTCATTATCAATAGCATCAACTCCTTTTTCCTCAAATCGAATTTCTTCAACTGGTGTGCATCAATCGTCGACCATCGAAATCTTCGACTATCGACATCCAAGCAACCACAAAATCAAATGCAATATCACTGACTTCGCTTCTTAGAAATAATCAACCAAATCATAATCAACAGCAACTTCGTTTTTCATCAACAATGACTCGATATCAAACCCTCAATTTATTAGTCTCAGGTCGTACCCAACTATCTATCATCGCTACTCAAATAAACTCATTTCGTTTTCCAGTTCATCAATATGAAACCAAACTATCGATGCTCCCATTTTGAATCGTCGATCGACAACATCCATCTCGAGTTTGACTTCAAAATCAAGTAAACATACATCCATTTTACTCCCTATAAACACCGTCCACTTCCAATGCTTCATTAGTCGAAGTCAGTTTTGACTCCAACATCACAAACATTCGATTCCAAACAACTAACAGAGATTGATTTAAAAATCAGTCGAACTCCTTGAATCCCAACATTTGTTCTTGATGTAAACAACATCGATCAAAATTAAGTACCCAGATGCTAGAGACCAACATTCGAAATACCAATACTTAACTCAATTTCAACCAATATTCATTAACCAGTCAAAATTGAGTAACCATTAGACATCGAAATTTAACCTTCGTTCTGTGTCAAAATCGAGTAACCATTAGACATCAAAATTTAACATTCGTTCCTAAAGCAGATCAAGTATTAAATCCGATTACTCTTCAAACGTCAAGAACGAATCCTCTTGAATCAACTCCAAAGAAAAACAACTTTTGATTTCACTATCGATTCAGTCACAACGTTTCAATCAAAAGTTAATTTTGACTTTCAGTGTTTGACTCTTAGAAATCGACTGAAATAGAGAATAAAAAACATAGGAATTAAATTTGAATCCAACTCCAAATCATCAACTTAACTCGGATAGAACACCTTAGCCGAAATCAAGAGGCTCATTCTTCAAATTCAATTTTATACCACTCGTGAGTCGGCCTTCGTTCCGGTTATCAACATTCATCCCGATTTCGAACAGTTGAATATATGATTTGGGCTCAAAATAAAAAGATGAACAATATCTGACAAAAGTTGGGCTTGATGATAAATCAGATGAACAACAACATGTATTCAACATAATGGGCTTATAATGAACAATTAAAATTGAGATGATAGAAAATAATTTTGATTTTGTGATTTGATCAAAACAAAAATAATTGGATCACACAATGGGGTTGAAACGGATTTGATCCAATGAGGCAAGTCAATCAAAAATGAAAAATGCAACATTTGAATTAAAATCATGTGTGTTTTGGAATCCGTTTGAGAATTTGAGATACCTTTTTGACAAATCGAGTTCCATTTGCAACGAACTAAACAAATTTAGAAGATCTTGGTTCTTTTTTTAGAATGAGAAAATCTCCAATTTAAACATTGTACCACCCACTATGCGTGATGTACAACTCGTTCTTCGTGTTCTTCAACGATCCAAGAACATCTTGTTTCATGGATTTCGGATTCACAACAACATTTGAAGATTTTTTTGAATAAATCCGCTTGTTCTTCCATTTAATCTTCTTCTTCTTTTTCTTTCTCATCTTTTGCATCTTGAAGACTTGATTTCATGAACAAAACCACTTCCCACAACTTCAACTTTATAAGTTTGAATCAAATCTTTTGGAGTTTGATACTTATGAATTTCTTGGATCACCGGCTTCCGATAAGGAATCATTCCATCAAACGAATCACAAGAACATAAAATATCATCGGTTTGAACTCCAATCGAGCAAAAAACTTTTGCATCTTCATAAGAATCAACTTGAATCTTCTTGTCATGAACTTCAAGAACATCAAGAACATCACATTGAACTCCATAGTCTTGAACTTCAACAAACTTAAGAGCACGAAGGTCATTTGGGTTTTCAATTAGAGAAATATATTTCTTATTAAAAAAATCTCTTTCTTCTCCTTCCTTGTGATTTCTACTACAGACTAATATGGACAATGCAATTTTATTCAACCATATAATCTTACAAAGTGATTGAAATATCAAGCTTCCATTATCATCCTTCAAATCTCCAAAAGAAACCATATTACCCATTGAAATCAATTTGCTTAACATCAACCCATAAAATTGATCTTCATTGAATTTGTATTTGATATCTTCAATGATCACAATCCAAGAATCATATGACAAATCCACCATGATCATAAGAACTTGAAAATTTCTAGAGAGAGAAAGTGATTTTGAATGAGTTTTCTAGAGAGAGAAAGCAAAAAGCACTTGAATTCTAGTGAAGAAAATCAAATTATGAATAGAATCAATGATGAATTCGATTTCTAGAATCTAAACTCTCAATAACACGAAGATCAAAACACAATGAAGAATCACCAAATCAAGAATGCCACCATGGATCAATTCTTGATCAAACCAAGAACACCCGCTATGATACCAATTGTAGTGTTGTTGATTATGATGGCATGTGCAGAATTAGAAAAGATCTAGTGAATCATCATACAAAATCAAGAACACATTAAGTAAATAAATCTGGGTTTAGCTCTCATTAGTATTGACAGAAAGAGTAAAAATGGGTCTTGCAATTTCTCTCTATAAACTAATGCTCTTAAAGTGTTCATTACATAAATGAGTGTCACTCACTTCCTATTTATAGGAAAGACAACTCATTACACAATACAAGTGGATAAAACACAAATAAATCCAAGCGTGACTTTGCACCCTAACAGTATCATAAATCATGTAGCACATAAAAGTAATTTAGGCATCATTCCTAAAATAAGCTAGTGCTTGTGCCTATGTATAGCAGACACTTATCTCACAATCATCGCTTATCATTCTAAATTTAAGTCTAGAAATCCTACAAGTTCCTAATTTGCTTAAATTAATGCTCTGATACCAACTGTGACATCCCTAATTTCACAGTCAGGGAAGACCGATTTGTTTATGCTTTATTTAAAATCAGAGTATCCTTTGAAAAATAATGTTACGGAATTTGTTCTAAAAAACATGATAAAGATTTTATCAAAGCATTTCCGAAGAAAGGTATTATAATTATATTAAAAATATTGGGTGTCATCGTCAATACAATACATACGCATAAACATAAATAGTACAGACCTTACAAACATCTATTCTAATGGCCTATAATCAATATCTCTCATCTGATCATCACACATGTGCACTTTTGCCACTAGATGTAATATAATAAACTGAATGGGTTAAGCTTGGGAACCTGATGAGCACATATGATTTTTTCAACCCACAATAATTAAGTTTTTTAATTTCATCAAATTATTCAACCCGGTTACCCGTTCTCATTATCCTCACTTTTTGTCCATAAAGTATCTAATTTAAGGGACCTATCCTAAGGATCATCATCGGGAAAACAATGTTGCTTAGGGAATTCCTTAGCAATATATGTCAGTAAGGTAACCATGACGGGGATGAAGTACACCGGGTGAACACATCGTTCATAAACACATACAGGTTGCGATCCTGCTAGCATTCCACTAAACTGTCTAGAATAATCCATGGATTACACAAAGAGGTATAGAAATTAACCTTGTCTCTCTATGGATTGCTCATGCTTGCCTTGTATTACTTTTCAGTACATTAAACATTGTATTTGGATTCTAAGAAACTCAACAATACGTAACTGAGAAAGCTGCCGGGGAATAGAAGCATTTTCCTCAAAAGAAGAATCCTTAAATAAGATAGATCACCAAAAAATTTATGAATCCCACCCGACAAGTTGGTACCTATGTTCATAATCAAAACCTTTGTTAAATTACAAGTTGTTACCTATGTCCATGAAGTTGATCAACAAGGAAACCGGCCTTCAAAAGTGTTATTTCTCACAAATTCAGACAACCAACTCAACCAAATGATTTTGCTTATCCAACCAACGACGGGTGACGAAACCTATAAAGAAGTTATTGCTAATATAAAAAAGGCTTAAATGTTCAAGCTTTTCCTCACCGCTCTTAATTCGAATTTTCCCTATGAAATGGTTGTTGTCTGAGTAAACTCCTTTCAATTTGCCCCAACTAAAATCTTCTTTGAGAACTTCACTCACATCTCAACAAAGCAACCATTGCATACTACAATAATGTTAGTGCAGTTTAATTATCAAATCGTACAACACCAACGCATGAACCATATAGAGATTGACCTTCATTTTGTACGAGATTAGTGTATGTATTTTATATAGCCCATTACTTTGTATAGTCTAGTTAGTCGATGTAACCCTTGTAGCCTAATATTGTAATATGTATATATTGTACTGTGAATGCAATGTCACATTTTCCTGGGAAAATAACACTTTCAATAATCATTAGGGTCTTCTTGTGCATCATTATACATATATCAAAGCAGAAAAATATAAATAGATATGAAAAGCATGCTCGTGTTTATTTCATCACATCTTCGTCAATGGGACTTAGTTATGGAAGATCATACAAGGCTTCCTTACCGAATCATAAAGGAAGTAATAGCATATATACATACATTCTCCAACCATGTCTAGCCACCTTCTGCGCCAGTAAGGATTGACGTAAAGAAGCCCGACAAATCCCAACAAGAACACAACACATGTTGCACTAGAACTTCCATAGAAACACACCATATCAATATCATACCATTTCTCAGAGCTCTCTTCTTTAAGAGATGGATCGGTTACCTGTGGCTCTATCGTGCATTTATTCTCCAGCGGTGGTCCGCAAAGAAGTGGATTGCCTTCATAGCTAGCCTTTGTAAAGGTCCCAAACTGTGCTTTCATTTCTGGGAGTCTACCCGATAGATTGTTGTGAGAAACATTAAGAACTTCTAGAAAAGTCAGCTGAACCAGTTGTGATGGAATTATGCTGGTCAATCCATTTGAAGAAAGGTCCAGGCTCTCAATATTCGCAAGATTTGAGAAGTTCACTGGGATTGGTCCAGTCAGCTGATTGTGAGACAGGTTCAAAGCCCGAATCTGGCTCAACAACCCAAGTTCTTGTGGAATTTCACCTGTAAGTTTGTTACTAGATAGATCCAATCCTGTCATGTAATCAAGGATGTCACCCTTGTAGTGGAGAAAGAGCGTTTTTGTTGTGAACTCAACTTCGTTTTGTGTTTCCACTGTTTCAGTAGTGGGGATCGACGGACGAAACCCAAAATTAGTACTCTCATAATGGTAAGAGGATTCAATGGAAAATCCAAATCCCCATCTGCCTCTTTTTATGAAAGCAAGGTCATGCCCCCCGGTAATGTTTTGAAGGCAGCTAGGTATTGAACCAGAAAGATGGTTATTCGATAGATCTAACAAACTCACATCACGTAATTTGCACAACTGCTTTGGAATAGAACCACTAAATTTATTTTTTCTCAAAAGAAGAATCCTTAAAGTGGATAGTTTGCCAAGAAATTTAGGAATCCTGCCTGACAAATCATTGTTGCTGATGTCCAAAGTCAAAATAATAGTCAAACTACGAAAGAATTTAGGTACCGATCCAGTAAATCTGTTGGAACCCATATGAAGATGCTGCATATTTGAAATTTGAAATTTTAATAAGCAGGATGGGATGGGCCCAGAGAAATAATTTTGTGAGATATCAAGAACAGAGAATTGTGCTATTCCACAAGGAAACCTGCCTTTGAAACTATTATTTCTCACCACAAGTTGAGTTAATCCCATGATGTTGGTTATCCAATCAGGGATCACACCTGTAAAAAGGTTATTGCTAATATCCATAGAAATCAGAGTTTCCAGATTTCCCTGGCTAACAGTTCCAATTTTCCCTGTGAAATGGTTGCTGTCTAGGTAAAGCCCTCGGAGGTAATTACCCCAGCTTAAATTTCCTGAAAGTACCTGGCCATGCAAGTTGTTCTTTGATAGTTTTAATACCTGCAATCCAGATATATTTGTGAGCATTCCCTTTGGTACTTCTCCTGATAACTTATTGCCAGATAAATCCAGCATCGATAGTTTACTCAGTTCACTAATTGAGGATGGGATAGCACCGGTTAAACCATTCATGGACAAATTCAAATGAATTATGTTGGGAAAGAACTTTGGTATATGCTCGGAAAGATTACCTATTATGTGATTTCCAGACATATCCAACCACTTCATATTAGCATTTCTATACAGCGGCATACTGCCAAAGGAGTTGTTCCTTAGGTTAAGAACATCCAGATTCGTATTATTTTTTAAAAACCAACTTGGAAAGTGTCCCTCCAAGGAATTGTGCGGCAAGTGTAGTTCCCGTAACTTGTGCTGGTGAAGTAGAAACCCAGGTACAACTTGTCCTTTAGGCATGTTCACAATGCAATTAGATAGCTCAAGAATTTGCAACTGGAACATTGGGATCCAATCTGTAGGCTCTTCTGTTTCGACCACAAATTCCTCACTATCGCTTGAAAACAGAATTACCTCAAGCTTTGAATGGTTGGAGAAGGAGCTGAACGAGAACAGACCTTCGAAATTGTTATGACTGATATCAATGTACTCGAGAGATGTGAGATTAGCAATGAGCGATGCCACAAATATCCCTGATAATTGATTTGAAGAAATATCCAACATCTTAAGAGATGACAGATTGTTCAAACATTGAGGCAGAGTTCCATGAAGCCTGTTGTGACTAAGATCCAGTTCATGGAGGTTCTTCAACTCACTGAAACCTGGAAAAAGCGAAAGAATGTGCTCACACTAAAGGAAATATAAAGACTTGCACTGCTTATGGTCATACTATAAGAACATTGCATTTGTACATTTGTTCTAACACTACAAAATTTAAGGGCAATAGCGATAATCCAGACACTTAATTTTGCATGCTTTACCATGATCCGGTAATGAGCCATTGAGATGATTGTTGGCGAGTGAGAGAGCTCTTAGGGAAGATAATGCATGTATTGCTGATGGAATGCTCCCAATAAAATTGTTGCCATTCAAATCTAAGACCTCCAGATGGCGGAAAGATGCAAAAGCTGATGGTAGAAACTCAATAAGTTCAACCAATTATAACTTTGTAAATTAAGGGAAGGAAGAAAAAATACTACCCTCTATTGGTAGTGTTCCACTGAAACCATTATCTCTCAAGAGGAGGACTTCCAAATCAGGCAAATCATGAAATTCTGAATTAAAAAAAGAGACATGTCAGACAATTAACAAAAAGAAAAATGGAAAATTATAAATGACAATGAAGATGAAAATTAGTATGTTGAGATAGACATGCCTTGGAAAGGAAAAGAACTTCCCAATGAAGTTGAATATGAAAGATCAAGAATCTTGAGAGATGGAAGGGTACTTAGGCATGATATGATGCTCTTGTTGAAATTGTGATAGGAAAGATTTATATTCTCCAACCTTTTCAATCTCGATAAGCTCTTACAAGCTGTAAAAAGAAAGGGAGTTAATAGAGAAATCGTGGTCTTGTAAGTTTGTTACAATGGAGGAGTTTATGATTCATTAGCTTTCAAGAACATTATCACTATTCACAAGTTACCATGGCTATGAGAAGTTAAATCTTCGTTTACCTTGGTTATTTGGTGTGTCACTAATCTACGGGATAAAAAGTAAATCAGGCTCCTCCAGGTTAGTCATACAAAAGAGAAACATATATATCATGTATTATGCATGCTCATTAGTCTTTACTTATCATTATAATGAGGTGGCCTCAATTTTCCCTGTTGCAACTCATTGTTAATTAAGTTAATTGCAAATGAAACACTTATAATCCTCAATGAGTGAAATCCACACATAGACATGACAGTATCCCACATACACTATCTAAAATAAAAATATAGGTCCTCATGAATCACATTAAACCAAAAACAAGATAATATTGAATATATATGTTGTAAGTAGGGGTGAGCATCAGGACTGGATTACAGCCTTTTATAGGTAATTTTTTAATACAGGTTATAACAAGTTGACATCAACGCTGATGCAATTGCAAACACTTGTACTCCTCAACGAGTGAAGCTCAGACATGACAGCATCCACAAACACTCTATAAATATAAGTTCTCATGCATCACACTAAATTGGAAACAAGATAAAATTAATTAAGTTCATATGATCTAAAAATGATACTCCAACAACTTTAGGATGAAATATATATAGTCAAGTCATAGCACGTACCTTGAGCTGGAAATGATCCCCACATTTGATTGTAGCTAAGATCCAAGTTTGTAAGTGATGAAAGGATACTTAGAGATGTTATGACGCTTTCATCAAATCTGTTGTTCCCAAGATTTAAAATTTTTAACTTCGTCAATATGGAACCCGTCTCAAAACCTACATTTAGGAATTTAAGCAGTCAGATTTATAAGCTCTAGTTTGATAGAATGACAAAGCTGTTTAGGAGAACATATACAAGTGTGTGTGTGTGTATATATATATATATATATATATATATATATATATATATATCCATGCTTTTAATATTGTTATGCCTCCCTTAAAAGTTAAAATAATTACTATTATATCTAACCAAGTGACTTGATTGTAATGTATCACTGTATTGTAGTAGTACTATCTCCAGATAATTAAGTCTTCGTTGCAATTTTTCTTTGTCCAAAGAAAAGAAAAGGTAATACTTTAAATTTCAGCACATGAAAGAGTCATTCTTCTGTATATTGTATTGTAAAGTTGCAAAAGGGGGATTTGTGTATGAATCCAAGGTGACTATATTGGCATGATGATTTTGATGATGTTATTCATTACCTTGAATCTCAAAGGTACCATTAAAGTAACAGTAGCTTAGATCCAACACCTCCAAGTTCTTCAAAGCTGCAAATTCTGCAATTCATGTAAAAGCTGGGTGTAAGTATCTTCCAAACAGGCATTTGTGCAAGATAACTTAATAGAAGACATGAAAAGACGAAAACGTGCCACTGATGGGGAAGTTTCCATTCAAGCTAGTGTCGCTAAGATCCAAGATTTTGAGTGAAGTGAGTGTCTTCAATGATGGAATGATGTCGTTATCGATATCGTGATTCCCACTAAGGTCTAGTACCTTCAACTTCTTCAAACTTGACAACCTTTCAAGTCCTGCAAAACATAAAATTCTTTAACACAAGCAACCTAGCCTTTTGATATTGAAAGGACAACTTTTTGAGCAACATTGGTAAATACTAAAAAGTTGTAGCATAAATTGCAGGATCTGAAGTACACATGAAATCTTGTGTTTAGTCTTTTATATATAGAAATATATTATCCAACTATTAAGTTACCTTACAAGCCTCTTTGAGTGCATAAATTAGTTGGATGTTGTGTTTATGAACTCAAATAGAGTCAACTTACTCGAATGTTTGCTCAAAAAATATGACATTGGAACCATGTGAAAGAAATACTGAAGCAATTAATCATGTTGTACCTATCTTCATAGTCTCTTTATCAAGAAAATCATGTGACAAATTGAGACTTGTCAACTCTTTAAAATGAAGAAACAAGGAGACATTCAATGGCCACGACTTGTTCCCGAACTCCATATTATTGTCTATCACCCATCTTAAATTGTAAAATGAAAGCTCTGTTACATGCCCGGTGGTTGTGTTGCATTTGACCCTCTCCCAATCACAGCAGTTACCACCATCATACCCCGAGGTTCTACTGCCATAATCAACCCAGGTAGGGAGAAAATGGTCAACATTGGAATCATACGACTTCATATGGGAGGCTTTGATTTGGAGTAGTGCCTTTCTCTCCTCTTCTATACAATCACCTTGTGTTTGCCCGACCATAAGAATATGTATCATCATCAACATCAACAACCAACGTAACCTTGATTTATGCTTATTCAAACCCGAATACTCCATTTTAGTAGCTAATGGTGGCTTTGTAGAGACACTCACAATATTAAACTTCCTGTTAGGTTTGGTTTTGGAAAACATTTGATTAGTGATGAAATGAATATCGATTACATAATTTTCCGCGTCCTCAAGTTAATAGTCAATTACCATACATAAGTCATCAAGTCAATGGTAAAAATTCAACACAAAACGCTATTCCATCTACTCCATTGTCGCCCACTCCTTCAACTTGACCCTTTTGGAGTATGATACACTCCCAAACATTCATGACACAACATTTGATGACTTTTCAACAAACTTAAGTCCGTATTCACATAGAATATAATTGGTTTTTTTTTTTTTTTTTTGCAACTCTTACAAAAACAAAACACCTCAATTTCTGGTAAACAGACAAGTGAGAGCATTTGCTAGAGATCACAGTAGCCGACATTGGAACGCACTTCAGTGAATTTGAAATTTCAATAACCCTAACCTGATAAGTAGGCCCTTCCCCCATTTAACCTTTCACCTCCCTTACTCCTCGTCTTCCCTAACGAAATAATCATTTTCACCACTACTCACCGACGACGGCGATGGTACAGGTCCCGGCCCTTGATTTAGAGGGGTGTGTGGCAGGGGAGATCTGGAGGATAGACGGAGGGGTTTAACGAGAAAGGGAAATGGGAATGGGAAAGCCGGTTTTGGTGGTGCGGTAAAAAAACAAGTATTACCCTTATTTATGAAACTTAGGTGCTGTTTGTTTTTTTGAAGTCAAAATGTCTGCAGTCTGCGGACCACATCTGCAAGCCTCTGCGGCAGAAGAGGTGGACCAAATGTCTGCAGTCTGCAATAAGAAGACTGTTTGTTTTTAACATCTGCGGGCCGTTAAAATAAATTGAATTTTTAAACTTAATTTCATGTTATAAACATTAAAAATGTATTTTTAACAAAAAAATGAAAGAAAAAAAAACTGCACGGTGGCCATGTTTTTTTTTTTTTTTGTTTAGGTTAAAATAAGGTCTGAAGACCTTTGAAGACAGTGGCCCATGTCTGCGCCAGGAAGACCTCGCGCAGACGTTTTCTGATCTGCGCACTTCCAAAAAACAAACAATCTGCGAGGGCATATGTCTGCGCGTTGTCTGCGCGGCGCAGACAAAAGTGGTTGCGCAGATCTTCACACAAAAAACAAACAGCCCCTTAAAGTATGGGTTACCAACCAAATCTTCGTATTCTAATAAATTAAGTGTAAAACTTATCTATCAACCGGATTAATTAAAAGAAGAAATTAAATATTAAAGTGTAAATAATAATTAATTATTTAAATAAAATTTTGAAATAATAAATAAAGAAATATATCAATTGCAATTTAATATCATATTTATGATATTTAATACTTTATATATATAAATATATGAATATTATGTGGTTTTTTAATTTTAAAATTTGAAAAATCTAAGAATTTGACATGTAGATATTATTTATTTTAAAAATATCATAAAATGATAAGTATTAAAATTCATGAGAGATTGACATGTGGAAAAATAGATCTTCATTTATTATAGAAGATGATGATGATAATGGTAGTTTTTTTGTCATGTGTCATCATTTTATGTCTTCTAATTAATATCATGTCACTAGTCAATCTATTGATTTTCATTTTAAATTTAAAATTTCTCATTTTAATTACATTAAATTAATAACATTAGAATAAAACATAAAAAAAATTTATACAAATTACAATAAAATAAATTTTATACAAATTGTAGGATGATATAATTTTACGTATTTATTTGAATTAACGATTATAATTTTATATATAACTAATAAAGTATATCTTAATTAATAAGTTATTTAAAATAATTAATTAATAGTTTTGAGATTTTATTTGTAATCGTGGTTCTCACGGGTTATAAACTAGTTTATTATATAAAAATGCAATAAACTTTGTTTTTTAATTTTGAAAAAATTGTAAAGTTAAATTATATGGTTTTGATCCAAAAATATTTTACAATGCAAAAATGGTCTAATTTTAGATATCTTGTGTAATTTTTATCCAAAAATGTAAACTTTAACATTTTGTCTGTTAACTTTTTTAAATCAAAATTTTAATATGCTAGATAATCGATTTATCAAACACAAGTAAAAACTAAGCAAAATAATCCACTAATATCGAAATCAACACATAGTATCAAGGATCATCTATGCTCAACAGAAGTCTGAGGTTATTAACCTATAACAAGAACAAAAAAACAACTAAAAGCGATATAAACTTCAGTAAACATGTTTAGGTAAGTAAACTGAATGATTATCGTGTTCTTTGTATCTCGATCTCTTCAATTCTTGCTCTTCAATTGATCACTAGCCTTCTTAGGGTTTCTAAGAGGTTTTTGGTCACCTTTGGTCGCAAAAAATACAACCCTCTCTCAAAATCTGACCAATAGTCGTATTTATAAGGTTGCTAAAATTACACCACCACGCCGTGGCATATGGTTTACAAGGTCATGGTGCTAATTTCTTCACGCAGCCTCCAAGTTACCATGCAAATTATCCGGGAAGCTTCTATGATTTGACACGTCACCACGTTGTGGCATGCATTTTAACACGATGTGACAAGTACGTTTTGTACGTATAATTCTCTTCAATGATTGCTTCCAATCCTTAGCTTCCAGCCTAGCATTTTAGCTCCTTTTTCCTTGAGAATATCTTTGTTGCTACAAAAACAAAATATGAACATATTAAATATTATTTATAGTAAAACAATCACTAAATGCAGCTACTAACATAAATATATTGCCTAGAATATATGACTATATATAGCAATAGTAAACCTCACACTTTCTTTTGATTGTCCTCAAGAAAAACTAATTTCTTTATAATGGTAATACATCACATCAAAACCTTGTCCACCAATATCACATAGAATAACCCAAAATTAAATTTATCAATTACGTTTTACCTCAATTTATATATTTGGGTCTAAAATCATAATTACTACACAGACTCTAAATACTCACATTCCCCATACACGTTCGTCATTCATTTTGAATAACATTCATTTCTGCATCCCTCCGAATAAATCCTCGAAAAAATTTATTAACCTCAATGTATTTTTATTAAATTTCCAAGCATACATACGAAAATAACCAAGAAATAAAAATACAACTTGACTTACTAAGCCTTTGGTTTTTGGTAATTTGTCTTATTTCTTCACTTCGCATGATATGCATACTTTTGCAAACTCGTATTCTCTCGACAACTTTTGACAATTTTTTTTCTTCTTTTCATCTTTTTCTCTTTTTTTCTTTTCAATTTTTTTCTTTTTATCTTTTCAATTTTTTTCTCTTTTTTTCATAACTCACTTTTTTTATCTCAACTAAAAATCGAAAAGAAAAACATATGCTTAAGCTTGGAAACTTAACATATAACACCGATAAAATTTAAGCCAAATTACATTTTAAAAACCAATAGTTAGTACAAATTTGTTTCCAAAATAGTCTTTATCAGGGTTTTTCCCATAATACATAACAAAACGTGATGAGCGGTACGATCACGCCTTTGCCTTGCCTCGATCCCCTGATGTACCTGAAACAATAAACTGAAACTGTAAGCCCCAAAAGCTTAGTAAGTTCCTCTAAAATACCCATACTCACAAATATACATATTATCATAAACACAATATACAATGGGTCCAATCAACCATCGGGTTGGAATACCCCAGGCCCTCAACCAACAGGTTGGAATGCCAACACACTATGAGTCCAATCATCCTCGATATGGAATACCCCAGGCCCTCAACCAATAGGTTGGAATGCCCCGGTCTATTGGCCTCCGCACGAAGCAGATCAACCTCAACCACCAAATAGACATGTGCACATCTAATAGATAATCACATAACAGTCTACAGATAATACTGATCTAACAGATCCTACCACATAGCTCATCATGTCCCCCTATCTACCAGGATACCGGTCTAACAATTCATACCGCATGTCATATAATATTATCATACCCTCTAGGATACCGATCTAGTATATCATTCCAGCATAACATAACCAGATACATTTCAAAGGGCCGGCCTTGGTGCCTTAGACCCTTGAGTATAGTGAGGATAACTCACCTTGCAATGCTGACTCGCAGGAATAAGCTCAAACTCTCGGGTCACTGACATGAACACCACCACCTATATTTATTACGAACCAAACTCGTAAATCTCCAATCTTTCCAAAAATGTCCTCAAAAGTCAATGGGTCAACTCATGGTCAAAGTCAAAGTCGTCAGTCAAGGTCAACAGTCCATGTTGACCTTAACTCGTCTAGCATCCTCAGCTGCTCGCCGAGTTTCTGTAATACTCTCCCACTCGTCGAGTCACCAGAGTGACTCGTCGAGTTCCTAAGGCTCGCGATTGAAGCTTTGAGACCACTCGTCGAGGTTTCCCGCATGCAACCCGACAAGTTTATATACATCTAACAATTTGGGGAAACCTTAACCGACTCGCCGAGCCACTCTTCAGGCTCGCGAGTCTACGACAATCTTCATCAGACTCACCGAGTTGTTCATCCAAGCCGTCGAGTCCATGACCATCTTCAAATGAGTCGCCAAGTCGACCATGCGACTCACTGAGTACCTTAAATCCTTCATCCATACATAAGCTTTCTAAGTTATGCAAAGGCTCCAAACTACATATCTAAGCTTCTAGGGCATGATTATCACGTAAAGTTGCAAATTTTACGTGCATGCAAGATGATATGACCCAAAACAAGCTAAAAGGAGTGGCTTACGGCAATGGGATAGGTCATAACTTGGAAAATACTAAACTTTATGATAAAGAGAGGCTAAAGGAGCCCATATCTGAGGTTGCAACCCCAGATCTTGACCCAACACATAGAATCACTACAAAACCCTAAAAAGGGATCTAAACCCAACCATGAGGGGTTCTAATCAAAGGGGACTCAAGGTAACAACTTGTTACCTTCAAAATGATGCCAATCCAAGGAAGAATCTGGATCTACAATAGCAACTAGCTCCAACTTCTTGAACTCCAAGCTCTTAACTCCAAAGGATCTAAAGATCGGGGCGTTACAGTTCTCCCCCACTTGAACTAGACTTCATCCTCGAATTTCGTCGAGGAAAACAATGTCGGGTAATGCTCTCGCATCTCAGCCTCCGGCTCCCACGTCCACTC